GTGCTGTAGTAGAAGTTGAACAGTAGGATGATGCAGTATTTGAGAGGTTGAATGGGTCGTTGATTGTCGGGGATCATAAGCGACGGACGATCAATTACGATGTGAGCAATTGAGACTGGACCGCACTGCTCGGCGTCCGCCAGAGGGAGTCTGATTTAATTCATCATTTACACACGGAATATAAGTTCGAGACTAAAATGCGTTTTCGATGATCATAGTACATGGATGTGCTGTGCATAAGTCCTGTAATTGAATAAAGATAAGGCCCGGATGACGCGCCGCTTGCTTAGAACGAGGAAAACTATGACTCTATAGCCAATGCCAACTTCTTCAGGGGCGGAGTGCCTTCAGAATGCAAGCCAGCACCATTTGCGTCCAGTTCCGATTCCTCAGCCTTACGTTTGATCCCTACGAGCAAAGGCTTACTATCCGACCCAAACTGTTTTTGAGTCGGCGACAACGACCCTCGTGATGGTGATACAGTGCCCAGCAGAGAGGCCGACGCTACTTTGGTCACACAGCAGAAGCAGAGGCGGTATTTGCCCATTCTCGGGTGTATTGGATCGACTCCTTACACTTGCCAGCTCGCTCTTCAACCTCAACGCCAGCCCATTAGTAGCCTCAGCGTGGCAGGTCGCATGATACACCTTGCGTTCAGGACCATTGAGTTCGTGCACACGCAAAAAAAGACCGGCACCCACTCGATCAGCCTTCGACACAGCGTTTCGCCAGACCCATTCTTCTTCCTCATCATTCCACTCGTTCTTGAAAGTTTCTTTGCAAATGGGGCATGCCAAAGATACGGCTTCCTCCCCTGGCGGCACAACAACGTACTGCGCTCGCAGATCTGCTATCCGCTTGGCCTCTTCAGCGGCCATCGCAGCTTTGGCACTCAGACCTCGAGGTCTCGCTCCATCGGCACGACCTTTGCCCTTGACGTCAGAAACATCGCTGATCCAGTCCTACTATAGCGTCAGCATACAGCGCATGCACCAGAGCACAAGTGATACGCGCCTCGATGCTCACAAACCAACTTCTCGCGTGACCGCGTCCGATGTTCTGGTTGGCCCGTCGATTTTGCTGGAAATGCATGTCAAGATGCTCTTCCATGCGCTGCTTCCCTGCAGCGGTGTCTGAAAATCGGACTCCGCACTGCCTACACTGTAGCGCCATCCGGTCGTACAAGAACTCGGCAACATCAGTGCGCTTCCTGTAAGGATCATGATCAGCACTCAGTAAGAGAATACAATTGAGTAAATACCTTGTAACATCTGTACTTGTCAGTCGCACACCACGTAACAAAATGGCATCACGATAGGCCCTGGAAGCATCACGGTCAAGATCAGGTGCTTGTTGTTCGGGCGTGTCATCGGTCTTATCACCCCCGAAGCCTTGCTTCTTCAACGTGGTCAACAGGTTCAGGATACTGTCTTGTGATATCAGAGTCGCAGCTGTCGAGCTACTGGCAGGTGGAGGCTCAGATTTAGCGAATGATCCGGAATATCCGAAAGGAGGTGGTTGAGCCGGTGCGTTGTTGTATACAGGTGTTGGAGTATGAGAAGGGGGAGCCGGCCATGCCTGCTGAGGCTGTGGTGGAGGTTGAGGCACAGGAACGGGTCGCATCAGCGACCTCAGCTGAGCCAGAATTTGCTCTAACTCCGGATACGAGACACCGGTTTCAATTAATCTGCGCAACTACGAACAAGTCAGTAAGGGTCAGACAAACGCAGGGACAGCGAACCTGTTGCAGAATGACGATGTGGTTTTGTGACGTTGTGTCATAAGGGTTCGCGTGAGACGCCCGCTCCTTCTGACTCAGTGTGAACTCGAGCTCGGTAAGAACCTGAGCCTTGAACACTTCCGCCTGAGAGAATACGATGGGGAACACAGCTGTGCGAGGGGCACGACGACGTACATTGCCTTTCTGCCATATACCCCGCTCAATGGCCGCCTGCGCCGGCTCGCCGAACAACGGTGCCCCAGTAGGCGAACCTGTCCTCCAAGTGATCAGCATTTCCTCCATCTTTCCGCGGGTCACTTCGTCTACTGAGGAGTGCGTGTCTAGAAACAGCGAGACCACGATTCCCGAAAAGTGCCGAGCGTAGGGATCAAAGACGTTTTTCGAGATGGCGTCGAGCAGATAGAAAGCGGGAAGTTTCATCCAATGCGGAACCTGAATGGCAGGTGCGTCGGTAGGTGAGCGAGAATGGGGCCAACCTGTGCCACTCACCTGCCGTATGTGGGACTCGATGCATTGGACAATGATCTCAGCGTAGCGGGTAAAGTCTTGTGCTATGACAGAGAGGTTCTGAATGATAGGCCTGGAATTGACCTTGAGCTCCGCTAGATGTCGTGAATAGTCTCTGCGGAACGAGGCGGGGTCAGGGTTATACACAGGAGGGGGAGGGGGAGAGGGTTGGGGCTGGTAGTATTGGGGTTGGAAATGCTGAGGCGGCAGAAACGCCGGATGGCCTGGATGATGTTGTTGGGAGTACATAGCAGATCTCACGAGCTCGACGAGGGCCAGTGTATGTACACCAATTCTGTACACTGAGTGTATCTATGCAAGAGCCAACGATGAATGTCACGCGTGACAAGTTGCCTGGTGTTGTTTTATCAGTCACATGATGAGTAATAGAGTTTTTGAGCTCGTGACAGGCGGGCCAACGAGAATCTAATCTCACTATCCAGTCGCAGTCCAGAAACCCGGAAGATACCCATGTATAGATTATGTAAAGCGTCAATTATAGAGTACATACACCGTCAAACGTTACCCTTTTCATCCACAGCAGGCACGACCATCCGCTCATCAGCGACCAGCTCCTCCTCTAGAGGACTATGACCATTACCGTTGGCATAATGATCCGGGACCTTTTCCGCGCCCCTCTCAAGGTTGCTCGCGTCGGTGTTCAAATCGGCGGGATGATCCATAGCAAGTGCGGCAGCCAGCCTTTCCCGCACCTTCTCTACGCGCTTGGTGTGGTTTCCGCCGATGGCAATAAAGACGGCAGAGAATATCCCACAAAGGAAGCTGGCTGGGATGAGAATACCCGTGCTCCATGCAGGCCGCTGGAAGCTGCGCAAGGCAATGAGCTCATAAACATAGCAACAAATCGAATCTCTGACCGATCTAATCCCCACATGGTGCCACAGAGTATGATCTGACAAAGATGATGAGACCGGGGTATGCACTCAAAAAACCGAGACAGAGTTCACCTGGAAGATGGAATTACCGTCGTTCAAACAGCATATGAGCAACGCAGTGCTGAGCACACAGTCGCATTAGTTCTGATACACGAGAAATGGGGGAAACCATACTTGATCGGGAACGCCTAAAGAAGCAGTCAGTGAAGAGCCTGAACACAAAAAGAAAGGCACGAACGCGATGAGTCTCAGTTCCATGTGCCCGATACCAGGTTTGATGCCGTTGGAACTTCACTTGCTCTAGTTCATCTGTGAGCGGCAAAAATGGCCAAAACAAGGCCCTCTACTCACGTCGGTGCAGATACTTCTGCTCTTCGTCGGTGAGAACGTGAACATAATTGGGGTCGTAAGCAGGGTCTGGTAGATCGTCCTCGTCAAACAGAACGGGCAATCCGGCTTTCAAACGCAGCCTGCGGGTCTTGCGTTTGTAATGCCAAATCCAGAATACCCCTGAATTCGATTCAGCATAGATCACTTTCGAACTGAGAGGTGCGGCGTACTGTAGGTGTCCAGAACGCGTGAGGGTATCAATCCGATTCCGGTGACAGTGAACAATCCTAAAGTTCAAACGTCAGAGAATCGCCTCGCTCAATTAAAGAAACCAACTCGCCGTTTTCTACTTGCGAGCTGACTTCCACCCAAAATCCTTGTGTGTTTGCGTTGTGGAAATTGATGATCTTGACCAAGAAAATGACGATCGCAGCTCCCCAAAACACTAATGGACAAGTTCAGAAATCCTTGGAAGTGGAGCAGAGGGATCAGACGCGCCTACAAAGAAGCCATAGACTCCAGTTATCATCTAAGCTCCGGCTCTGATTAGTCGGTCCAGGCGACAGAATGGCACAACTTACACCCAAAGCTGGATAAACGCCAGTTAGCGAACAACGTTCGTGCCGCACAAAGCTACTCACGCGTTTTGAGGAAAGCTAAAACACCCTTCATCGTACGCCGGAACTTCGAAGGTTTCTTCAAGACATCCTGCACATGGCGGTCTAAGGAATCCTCGTATTCTTTTCCAGGACGCTGTCCGTCCTCTGGGTCCGTGACTTCGGAAATAGACGGCGACGACAGTGTCACGACAGGCTTGTGAGAATGCCATGGGGGGCTATCACGATGGGTAAGTGCAAACCCAAGCTAAGTTAACAATAGCTCCACGGACAAAAGAATGGCATTTGCAGCGTTAGTGAGCGTAGACACAGTTGCAACTTGAGGGTCTGTTTCCCATAGATAGCATCAATATGCGACTGATTTCCACGGCCGGGCCACACACCAATAACATCCAAATGCTCAACAACCTGGTCGACATGGTCGTCCAGATCCTGGTCGCTGTCGTCCCGCCCCAGTCCAGGGCGTTGAGATTCCGCGTCAGAGACACTAAGGGCGCTTCCAATAAGCCCAGGCTCGCCGTCCGAGCGCGCCCGTACGACGACGTCTGTGTTCACGCCAGAGTGGTGCGACAGAGGGGTGGCCGACCGCCCCAACGACTCGGGTGACGCAGCGCGGAAATTTGACGACAGCACACGAGAGCGCGTAGAGCCCATGACATGGCTTTGAACCCTGCTGCTGCGCGGAGATGGGCGAGTGGGTGGAGGCGAGGTGGAGTCGGACCCAGCGATCGGGACACCCGTTTCTGAGGGGGGCTTGAAGATTTCTGTCAGAGGCCGCGGGGGTATCGGTTCGACCGCCACATAGGTGCTGCGACGAACGCGAACGGAAGGCATATGAGGAACGGGGAGGAGGAAGGAAAGATCCTCGCCTACTTTGACGTCAGCCTAATTTCATAAACATCTTTCCCCGATGTCCCGATTCGCATCAGACCGACCGACACCGATTGATAGACGCCAAGGCCAACTTTGATTCAGATATATCTTTCACAGCTTCTAAGTATAGACTTGGAGATACTGGAATGTCCGGAGTTTTCAATCCTCCTTGAGCTTAGCCTCTGGTCTCGGCCAGACCCGTTCAATCACGCGCCATAGCACGAGATTAACCACTGCCAGCATACAAGACCCAAAAAGTCCCACGACTGCCGTGAGCCCCGATCCCTCCAACACACCGAAGATCATCTCAGCGACCTTCGCGTCAGGGGCAGGTCTATCGACCTCCAGCTCCAATTCAAACGGCAGCCGGTTCCGATCGACAAAATGGCGAGCAGCAGCGAGCCCCGACGCGAATCCGTCCTCGTGGAAGCCGTATCGGAGGTAGGCACCGGCATACGACAGCCCTCGCGTTCGCTGGATGCGCGGCACGAGCTTCTGAGCCTGGACCGCACTGCCGTCGAGCACTGGATGGTCGTATCGCCAGCGACCTCCGGTGGTGCCCTTGCGGGGCTCGAATGGAGGATTGAGAGTCACCAGGACAGGCCCAAATTTGGATTCAGGAATGTGCTGCAACGCGTTCATCCCATCTGGCATAGTAGTTCAGTCAAGTTATAGGGTTATCGCTCTCTAGATATGCTCACAGGTCCTAAAAAGGGTCAGAATTGAACGGGATATAACAAAAGCTCACGCACAAGGACACCTGGTCAGAATTCGCCTTTCGAACACCGTGATCGTCCAGCTCAGACTGCGTGAGATAATTCCAACACGACCAAGCCATCCGACTCCGAGGCATCAACTGCAACGCTGATTAGTTCCGCTCACTGCACCGGCATGCGCACGAACGTTTGTATCGCAATGCAGCACGGCTTCGTTCTGGTTCCACTGGAACTTGCCCAGGATAGCTTCCTCCTCCGCAGTCAGACCTTCTCCGGCTTGCAGGATCGAGAGCGCTGTGTCAGAGTGGCATGCAAAGATAACGTGGTCGTACGTCTCCGTCACTCCGGCAGATGTGACGAGGTCGACCGTATCCCGTTCAGGGAAAGTACTGACCGCTCTGATCGGAGTAGACAAATGCAGTTGATGTTGAGGCAGCTTGGACAATATGCGATTCACGTAGACTCGACTGTGGAGTGACGGTGACTCACAGCTCTCGCGTGTAGACAGAAGTTACGCACCTTCCCCCGTCCAGTGTCAACCAAGACGGCTTTCCGGTCACCTGGAGGAGATGATGATTGCTCATAAATGGATCTGTGCGGTTCAAACGTTCCACGTTCAGCAGTCTATGAACAGACCTTGTCATCGTAACTCACGAGGGTCTTCGCGGGAAAGTCGAGCGCGCATTTCTCCGGCGGCGTGCTCCAGATGCAGGCCGTCATGGGCTAGTAAGCAGTCGCACTGGTCAGCAACAGCAAAATGGTTCTAGCCGATCCCTTACAATCAGATAATTGTCCTTGAAGGACATAGAATACCCCTCCTTGTCCAGGTATTCCCCAATAGACGTTTCCGCCGGAAAGTCGTCGCGTAGAATGGACCGCGCACACGCGTTGAACCGCAGCACGTCATACAGCAAGCGCCACATGTCAGGATCGACGAGCCTCCACGGCTGGCAGAACACAGTGAAGATCGTGTCTCCCGCCCACTCGAAGGCACCGCGATCGCGCGACACGCTGAACGTCATCTCCGTCGGCAAGATTCGGATCTTATTCAATTCGAGAAAGTTGATGAAGTTGGGGTATGTGCTCGGGTTGAAAACAATCTACGGGGCTGGATGAGTGCCTGACGCGCCCAAAGGCTGCTCAGAATAACGTACGAAGCCACTTGAAACGCCGCGCGAGCCAAAACTGTGAGACTCGAACTGGCGACGCGTCGGGCACGTACGTATCGACATACACACCCTCCTTCTTTCCTGGTGGCGCAAACATGACCGTGTTAGCATGTCCGCCAGGTCGGTCGTCGGCTTCGTACAAATGCACTTCGTGGTCGCTGTACTCATTGAGGAGCTGCGAAGGGAAGGTTCAAACCCGCTACAGTACATGCAACGAGCTGAAAGTTCACCCAGGTGGCGCTTAGGCCGGAGACGCCTGAACCGACGATAGCGATTTTCATTGGGAAGGGTGGGGAGAGAGCAGAAGGATGTGATGACGCCGAAGACGCACGCACGTTACATACTTTCGAGCAACCGATCGCGCCCCTTCTTTCCGTCGTCCCCGTCATCACATCAATCGAACCGACTGTTCTCCCGATTGGACGCCAACGATATGATGCCCCGCTGCGTCGGTTTTGGTGCACACCGATTTAGCCATCCTAAAGCGCTTAACATACTTCCCTCCACTGTGACCGCCATCCGCTGAACAGCCCCTTCCGACTTTCATCATCAAACCAGAGTCGGACAAATTTCGATGCATTTGTCGGGCTGTCCACAGCTCAGTCGTTGATTGGGGATCTCTGCGTCGCAAGATGGGTTGTCGAGCCAGGCTCGACTGGCCTAGGACGTCTTGTATCGAGACGCCACGGGCACTTCTCCAAGACACTGGCTATCGCACACTGCTGACTTGTCCGGTCGTCGAGTCTCTCTGGGGGTCCTCAATCTCTCTGATTCTGTTTTTGTATGATCACTATGTGAATTGCGCTGATTGTCCTCAACGGCCGGCCCCGGCGGCATTGCATCCGTGTCTGTAATAAATACCCAGCTCGACGAGACCGGAACTTATTCTTCTTCTCGGGCGGCTGAGCCACCTTCTGCTTTTTTCTCCCGTTTCTCCGCCAGAACTTTACTTTACTTTTTCTTCTCCTTCAATTACCCATGCTCTTTGCTCCCATCATCGCACTTGCCGCAATGGCATCTGCCGCTCCGACACGCTTGACCCAGCGCAGCTGTGATCTCAAGAGTGCGGATCACCGTCTGCAGCGCAAAGCGGGCGCTGACATTGACACCCCTCTCCAGCGTGTCTCCTCGATCTCGCACCCACCGGCAAGTACCTAGCCGCATCAACCACACTGCCACACCGCGCTCATCAGCACACCTGAAGTGGGACTGTCGTGTGGACTGGCTGTTGCCCAGGCGGATGTCGGTAAGCACTCGATCAACATCAGCTCCATCACCCGTCTCTCAGTTTTCGTCGACGCCAGACCCATTCACGGATGCGGGCTGCATTCTCGCTGCTGTGCAGGACGCCGTCGCTCTGGTACGCCTTGACCCTGGGTACATGCGAATTCGGCATTCATTCACCCATTTTCCCAGCCCGCCTCGTGCAGCGGCTGTCTCGCCTCGCTTGGGCTGGCGGGTGACATCGAAAGTGTCAAGAGCAAGATCGAGGGCATCTTTTGAATGTGGTGGATGTAATGTGTTAATTTTGATAACAACTTGGGAGATGCTTCTGCAACGTTGCGAGAGTGATGAATGTCAGCGAATTGTAACAATCGCGATGTTTTCCTCTGATGAAAACGGTCTAATCTCGATAGGCAAGCTGCCTAGTGTCCGGACTAGTCTCGCTGAAGAGTCAAGAGCGCAGAGCAGATCAGATCCTTTTCAAAGCAAGCAGTAGGTCGACGATACGATATCTATAATAATAACTCCGTTACGAAGGCGGTGAGTAATATGCGGGTGTAGTATGAGTGAGTCGGTCGGTACATGTATGCGTGTCTATCCAATGGGCATGCGGCAGAAAGTAGATGGTGATATGCAGATCAAATCAAATCCGTCAAATGCTACAAATGAGCCACCCCAGGGCTCCCCGTCCGATTCCGCCCGAAAATGGTCGCAAACTTTTTGTTGTGCATGGGAGGGTGGCTCTGGGTCATCGAGGACCGCGACTCCGAGTCGGATTCGACCGGCGGGGTCTCAGGCCGGTGTCTCCTCCCCAGCTTCCATCGCCGCTGGCTGTCGGTGTCCGAGTCCTCCCCAGGCCCATTCGTCACGGCCTTGCCCGCGATCCACTTCGTCTTCGAGATGAGCTCCCGGGCGACGGGCAGGACGGGGACTAGCGGCTGGTGGAAGGCCATCTTGAGCCAGCCCTTCCAGCTCATGTCCGATGGGATGAATTGGTTTACAAGCTCTTCAAACTATGGGAGAGATATTTTTTAGCTTGCAGGTCAGGACAATATGATCGCGAGAACACGCACACTCCATGTTTGGTTCCGATACTCAAGGTCCCTCGTTCTGATGTGCGCGTCGCGACACACGAAAGACTGCTCCTTCGACACGCTCAACAGCAGATTCAGACTCGATATCCTGACCAGCACGAAACTCTTTTGGGACGACCGGGTCTTCATCTCAGCAGCGTCGCCCGTCTTGCGCGGGCCCGAGACCACGTTCTTCTGTGTGCTCGAGCTAGCAGTGGACGAGGAATGGGAGATGGGAGCCGGCATCGAGGCCTGCCGCAGAGCTCCGCTCGACGCAGTCCGATGCAACGTCCGAGGCGGGGTCAACGTCGCGGACCGCAAGTCCGTGAACGACCTCGACGCGCTGAGCCGCATCGGCGCGGCCAACGCTGTCGGTGCCAGCGTCGTGGACGCCAAAGCCGGCACTGAAGCCGAAATCCCAATCGGCATCTGCGACGGCTCCGCTGTCTCCGGCGGTGACTGATCGACCGACGTCGGCTGGCTATCGTCCTCGAGGATCATTTTACGGTTTCTCCGATCGGGCCAGACGTATTCCATGATGCGCCGCCCGACGCGGGCGTCGACCTGCAGCCGCATCGGGTGGAAGTTGAGCTCGAACGATTCGTAGATCGTGATCCCGCCCACTGGAGCGAGGACGGACCACGTCGCCATCACAAATATCCCTTTCTGGTGAACGGAGTGAGACGCAATTCCAATGATGACAGCCACCACACACACCTTGAGCAAAGGATGGTTCGCCGGCTCATCGTACTTGCACAGAATCTCCGCCCACCGTGCGTTCTGCGCGCCATCGAACGCCTGCAGATTGCCCACACTGAGGTCATTGACGCTCGAGCTGTCCTGGCGACTGAGCCACCAAAAGTCGATGTCCTGCACGACCAGCTTGGCCAACATCTCCCGCTGCTCGTCAAGCATCCTCCAGCTGATCTCGGACGACGACGTGTGCAGCAGCAGCGATGACTTGGATTCTGATTGCTGGTCTCGCTCGTCCTGGGCCAGTTGGATGCAGTCGAACAGAGCATTGAGCTCTTCGGACAGGAGCTGGCAGCACTTCAGATGAGAACACAAGTGGATGACACAGAGGATAAGATCACGAACCATCTTATGCGCCTTCAGCTTCAACAGCTCCAACGCACCTTCCTCGAGACCCAGATGGCTGAGATCGGCGGTGTCCTCCGTCTCCGTTGCATCTCGCAGACCCGTCTGCAAGTCCTTGACCACGCCCGCCACCGAGAACAGATCCTTGAAGTCATACGTGAAGAGCAGCGTCTCGAGCTTGTTCGTGCGCGTCTTCAACGCCGCGTCGGAAAACAGGATCAGCTTCGTCACGATCCTCGAGATGATCTGGAAATGCGCGTCGTTGGCGGTCACGGTGAATTTGGGGATGTGGACCTGGATCAGATCCGTCTGGTCCTGCAGATGCCGGAACTCGGAGTTCCGGGGGACCACGTTGTTGCGCAACCGCAGGCGGTTGAATTTGTCGTAGTGGAAGGCCGCGTCCGTCTGCGGCACCAGACGCTGGAATTCCTCCGTGTCGCACCGGAAGTCGATCAGCACCTCCAGCGGAACACACCCGTCACCCGCGTATTCGCGCGACTCGGGTGTGAACGTCTGCAAGCCCGACAGGGTCGTGTACGTCCGGGACATGATCTTGCCGTTGATCGGGTCATCCACGTTCTTGTCGTCCAGGATCGTGTAGCTCTGCAGCTTCGCCTGCACAGCCGCTACGACACAGCTCTGCTCCGAATTCCATTCGTCGCGGAGGACGATCTGCGGTTTAAGCAGCAGACAGCAGTGCGCCTTCTCGAGCGACACGCCGTCGGACCAACCGGAGGCCGGGTCAATGCTCATGGCGGGCTGATGCTGCTTTGGTGCGTTGGCCGGGGAATCAGCCCCGGTGAGGATTTTCTTCAGCACTTGCGCAGCGCCCTGGACCGGCGAGCCGTGCTTGTCGCCGTTCGTGTTGTGGAGCGCCTGTTCGGCCTGATCCCGGATGAACTGGACGGCGCGAGCAGCCATGTGATATTCCTGGCCTTTTCGGGCCCGAGAGCAGTAATAATATTGAACCATGATCTGTCGGGGATGAGATCGATAGCTGTTTCAAGGCGGAAAACTCGGTGACATACATCTCTGACCGCACTGTCCAAAAACAGCTTTGGGCAATGAACTTGGAAAACGTTATCGAATTCAGCCCATTCAGATTCTGAGAGACTGTCTGCTGGGAGATGGTAGTTGTGGTCCATCGGTGATTCCGGGTTTTCGAGGATCTTGATGTAGTCTTTCAAAATGTCCGACATTTTAGGCTGCAGTCACATCAGCGACTGAAACGACCATGCGAAGACCCGCAACGTACATCCGACAACTCTCTCAGCCGCTCCTTGGCCAGCTCAACCTGGACCTGAGGCACCGACGGTTCTTTCCCTAAGAAACACGTGTGCGACCTCTCATCCCCGAACTTGCTGTCCTCCGGCGTCCCCCCGCGTCTGAAATATGTGAACCTCGGGCACACGCCGACCGGCAAGAAATGCAGCGCAGGCCCCGGGGCCCCCGACGCCACGTCCCGCGCGGCCCAATCGAGCTCGACAAAGTCCTCCGCATCGCACCAGCGCTCATCTTTCACCTGGGGCAGCTCCGCCCGGCGGTTGAGGTAGTTGCTCCGCTGCGGCGAAGCGCCGACCCCGACTTGCGCTTTCATGGGATCGTCGAAGACGGCTAGCAGGGCCCGCAGATCGATCCCCTGCATGGCCAGTTCGACCGCGTAGAAGGGTTTGCGGCGGATAATCTTGTTGTCGACCGACTTTTCCTCCTCTCGCTGATGCATGTCGACTTGGAAATGATCGATGAAGCCCTTGACGCCCACCCACGGCGTCAGCCCATCCGCCCAGGCTACGAATGTATCAATGAGCAGGAGAAGCTGTCGAGAGCAGAAAGACTACGCACTCTCCCGCGAGTCGTCGATGTAGCCGTGCATGATGTACAGATTCCGCACACCAATGCGATACTTGATCGTGGCAAGATGCCGTCCAAATTTGGGTGAGATGGGACGGTGCGGCCAGGCCAGGCCCTGTCGCACAGGCAGACTCAGTACCCCATCAAACAGTTTCCACCAGCTCCAGAAATGAGTAAACGCCAACGGCGTCAAGTGCAAACTGCTGGGCGCAGACGACTCCGCTTTCAGTGCGGACGTGAGCGACACGGAAAGATGGATGAAATCCGACCGGAAGCCGTTGTACGAGTCGTCCGGCCCCTTGCGTTCTGGCACGACCCCCGGTGGTTTCCTCTCCATCTTCACCTCGTAGTGCGGCCGGAAAGTGTACAAACGGCACTGCCGGTGGAATGCTGATCCGGAACAACCCAGGACACACTCGGGCCCACACGACCGTTCCATGACGAACCCGATTCCGAAGCAGACACCGGCACTGAACGTCGCACACACTTTTTTGAATGGCCGGGGACGACGTTGTTTGCGTTTAGATTTGGGCTGTAAATTGGAGAAGCTGGAGTGGGTGATGAGATGAACGAACAGTCGCCCAACGTAACGACGCACTCTGGGATGGCGATCAACATCGAGTCACTGATGATCTGCACCAGCTCGTTCGCATCGTTCCTTTCGCCGATACAGAGCCGTGGCTTACCCCGCCAAGCCAGGACAAAGCCAGCCCCTTCGCCGTTGATGAGATACGGATCACGGGAGCCTACAAAGCAGATTAGATTAGATCAGGCCAGGAATCAGACTGTAATAGATAGCACGCACCCTTCATCTGCAGCCGGACCTCGTTGGCAAACTCAGTCGTGATGGTCCAATGGAAGATGAGCCGCATCTTATCCCAGAAGCCCATCGCAGGCGACGCGTCTCGCGGGGCGCTGGAGAGCGTGTCGACGACCCGCATGACATCTTGTGTGGCGAATCCATAGCTGACGCCCCATGTGAAAACTGTCGCATCGTCCGCGGACACCGAAATCACGGGATTCGCATACGACTTGACCGGCATGATGGTCTTGGGGATCGACAACGCGAACGGCGCCGACCCCGGCATGCCGTAATTGACCGGGACGACGGGACACTCGACCCAGTCGACGGACAGGTCCGTGCACATCTCCTCTGCGATCACGAGATCCCCATCAAAGTCGAGCGCAAACAGTGTGCTGTCTGAGCGGGGCGGGATCCAGGCCAGCGGCAGCGGGTAGTCTCGCAGAGTGACGCGTAGCGACGACACGCCAAAGTTCAGGTGGAGCGGGACGAGCAACGAGAACTGCATGTCGACAGGGAGTCCGCCGCCCTGCTTGTGTAAGAAACTGGGGAGGGCCTCTATAGGGAACGACGGGGGTGACAGATTGAGCGAGATATTCGTGAACAGGGCTCGTAACAAGGGGGGCGAAGACGGCGGAGGGGTGACCTCGATCAGACTGCAGAGCGTGGTGTGGTCCACACCAAACTGCTTCCGAACAAACGAGTCCTCGTCCTTGGCCTGTCTCTGCCGCGCCATGTTCAGCCGCATGATCCAGTCCACGGAATGCACCTCAGCCAGTCTCTCCCGCGCATCGCTGATCGATACGGAATGCTGGGAGGTGAAGTTGAAATCCGAGGACGACTCGGCCGCGAGAATCGAGTTGACCTTCGCCTGGAACGCCTCGTCGCGATCTTTCCGACTCTTGGCTGCGTCCAGTCCCACACGCGACGCCAGCCCCAGCCTCGTCTCGAACGGATCGTCCGCGGCCTCGACGCACAGTGCGCGGATGTTCAGCGTCAGCTTGGGCACGTGCTTGGCCGCCTCGGCCTCGGGGAATGGAACAGACGAGAACTCGCCGAGCAAGCAGATGCGGCCGAGGTGTTTGATGGATTTCACGCACAGGCTGATGTCGAGCACCAGATCGGCCAACACGAATCCGTGCGGGATGCGGATCCTCGCGGCATCAGCGTCAATGAGGATATCCCCGGCATCGATGGTGGCTGTCCACCGGCGCAGACTGAGGAGCTCTTCCCACCGCTCAGAGTGCGGACCAGCCCAAAGCTTAGGGGTGCTGCTTGCAGGGATTTTGACCCAGCCAGTTGCACGCTCCCACGACGCCGTAATCGCCTTGTCTTTGAGCACGGCACTGAGGCCGTCCCAGCGAAAGTGCGCAGATTGTGCCGGCAGAGCGCAGATCAAGTGAACAGTCTTCACGAGCACATTAGTCGTCACGTGTAATGACGATGGCATGGGCTGTTTCACGATCGGCGATTTTCGTCTTGCACCAGCGAGCTTGTGCACAGTCGATGCGCCCAGTAAGACACTGTAAAGATGGGCAAGCTGGAACGACACCTTGACACTGGGAAGAGTCACGGTGACCGAACAGTTGTCCGCACTACTGACAGTGGGCCAAAACGTCCCGCTGGACAGCGCAACCACGATGCTCGGCTTCTGCAACGCCAGAAACTCCTGCTGCTTGAGTCCCGGGGCGTCTCGTTCAGAGATCAGGGGATCATCGGCTTCGAATTGCGTGGACACGGCACTGCGCACAGCCAGGTCTGTAAGAGACACGTGCACCGTGGATGCAACATTGTTTGTCCGCAGCGCCCCCAGCACGGATGGAATCAGGGTTTCCGGTGGCAGGTACAGCATCTGGCGGGTGGCTGACCGCCAGTGGGATCGGGGCTCTGGATTTGCACGCAGAGAGCAGAACTGCACCGCCAGCCCAACTGCACGCACAGCGAATCCGCGAGCGAGATCCATCGTGTCGTCTGGATTGAGATCGGGAGCAGTCACAAACACCACAAACCGCGCCAGGGAGAACGTCGCAAACACGCCCTTCGGCAGCTGGCTTACGGAGAACGTAGATGTCTTCGGTGTTGGCGCCGGTAGAGCTGAGAGCACGTGCAAGAGGGTCTGCACAACCAGCGGGTGCCACAGTTCGACACACAACGCATCAGAAGTGCATAACACCTCAATCGTCCGAGAGGGCAAGTACACCAGAGCAGTATGTGAATCGTCGCTCAGCGTCGCATCAGCCCGGCAGTGGCCGGTCACTTCGAACGACTCCATCGAAAGCAGCACCGGGTCCTCCACCGGGCCAGAGCACACACGCACAAATGTCGGCCGGAGAGCAAATCCGATTTGCGCCGTCAGATGCAGGTGCACGGCGTCTACCGGGATCGACGCCCGTCCCCCGCGCCGGGGGGTGTACTGGCTCATCACCGACAGCACAAAGCCGTCCGTCCGCAGCCCGATGGACGCCGAATCACTGACAACTAGAGTCCCGCTGATTGACTGGCATTCCAACTCCAGTGCTACTCGTGGCAGATAGCGCTCTGTCGCTGGTTCTGGTTCTGTCTCCGGCTTGGCTGGTGCAGGCAAAGCTGCCGTCATCATGAGCAGACAGTCAAGCCTTTCCGTCAAGCGGATGGGGCCGACACCGACATGCACAGCAAGAAACGGGGCATTTGGGTCCCCACTTAAGAACGGACTGGCATGGAGCCATCCCGGCGGCCACTGGACCGCCAATGTCCGGATCGACACGGACTTGATCGACAGAAGATGCAGAGAGTCGCGATTGGCGCGTAGCTCGCCGGTGGTTACGTCGAGGACGTACCCTTCCGGGTCGGCGGGTATCTTCTTGGCACCCAGCCATCTTCGATGCAGTGCGTCCCGTTCTGGGTGGCTGATCCGCGCGGAGGCATCTATAGAGTTGACGCAGTAGTTATATCTCCGGTCTTCTATGTGCGAGTCGACCGAAACGGTGATTCTGGACATCCGGAAAGTCGCTTCGGACAGAAAGGAAAGGATGGACTGCGGTGGAATACTGAGAAGAATGTTGACACAAAGCAGTTGGATTACACACCGTGTCTTTGACATCCTTCAGCTTAGCGTTTTGCGGATGGTGCCGTCGCACCATAGTACCCGTGAATGCACTCAGGAGCGGAGAACGTGAATTGGTGGGTGAGATTGGTGACGTGAAGAATGACATCCCCCCTGGAGACACGAGCGGAGACAACGAAGTGTCAAGCGGGGGCAGTGGCTCAGGTGTTGTATCCGGGGCATCTTGTGCCAGCGCCTTCAGCAAGGCCAACAGCGGCCCAATCTCGACATGCGTCTCTGTCAATGACAACGCGACTTTCACGCTATGTGGGTCTACGGATCCGCGCCTGGGACTAAACCCAAAGGAACCAATCAAGTCAATCGAGCCAGGCAGCTGGATGAAGTTGCTCGTGTCTAATCCACGTCAGCAACATCCTCAACGAAACAATTCGGCCACGCACTGGATCCAGTGATGCCCTGCAACTTCACTTTCACGTCTATCGCCCCGTGCGTCGTCGCCCAGGCTCGGTCCCAGGAGCGCTGCACGCTATGCGTAAACCGTCTCCTCCAGGCAGCCAGGCTGTACGATGCGCGCTGTTGAGCATGAGTCTGGCCGCTATGCTTGTTTTCGCCCTGGGCCTCTTGGAACGCCACGACCGAGCGCACGGACACGGTCTGCGTGACCAGCTGTGCGCCGGGGACAGCGGCGAATGTGATGCGCGGGGAGTGCAGATCGAGGACGAGCGCCTGGCTGATCCCTGGCACCGCGCCGATGACCAGCCGCAGACATCCCGTAAAGTACGTCCGCACGACGGGTCGGATGAATGGATCCACGACGAAGAATATCTGCGAGACGAGCCGCCATAGGTAGTGCGCAATGGGGGACGGCGCGAATTTCGCTGCGAGGGTCCGTGAGCGGGAGTGTTTGGGTGTGCGGAGGGGTGCCGTCGGCTTGCGCGGCGGGATGCCGACCTGGAGAACGAGGCCGTGCACTTGGAGTGTTATGCGCCACGAGCCGTCGATGTAAGCGCCCGTCCAGCTGATGCGGTCAGCCCGCAGCGTATGTGCGCCGAACCGTGCGTATAGGCCACGGATGGACCGCAGACTGATGCTCCTGATGCGGAGGTGCTTCGACATACGCGTGATCGTCCATGGGAAGATGTAGGTACGGAGTAGGAGAGAGAAGGTGACCAGGCGGACGAGCCAGACCAGGAAGACTGTCCACCACGAAGACCCTTGGGGCTGGGTAATCAACAAGGCACGCAGGAGGAGGAGAAGCCAGCGAAACACGCTGACAACAAACATGCTGGTCTTCCTGGAGGTGCGATTACTGGAAAAGTCGTCTGGCGCCCAAAAACATCACTCGAGGACACCGAGACAGACAGACTGAGATGATGATGCACGGAGAGCGCCGATCAAATCCTGATGACAAATATTGATCTATCCTCTATGTCACGCGTCCAAGGACGTAAATGTATTGTCTCGCAAGACAGTGGGTCCAAGCAGTAATTACAAGTAATCAATCATCGCGAGCTGCGTACAAAGCCTTCGGTTTGTCGGAAGGTATTGATTTGAGCATCACTTTCCATCATCATCTAACCGACAGATTAATCTAGCAAGGCGGGGCATTGACAAGACTTACATCTTCTGCCATGGTGTGTACGTCAGATCCTGGGCGGTTGAACATGATCGCGTTGGCAAACATCAGGTAGATATCCCTTTGGAATTCAAGCGAGTTTGTGATTCCTCCATCCTTGATCTTGGCTTTGATCGACTTCAGATCCGTAGGGCGCTTGACAATGTCATAGTAGTCCGGAGCGTCAGTGCGTTTGATGGGATTGTGGAAGATATTGCCGTTTCGGTGCTGCGAAATTTGCGAATGCACCATGCCTATGACAGTCTGAAAGCGTTTGATGGCGACCTGTTCCTCAGTCCGTCCGGTTCCGCGACGTCGGAAACCAGACGGGGTCAAGGCTAAGGAATTCAGAATTCAAGATGCTGCATAATAGAGATGAACGCACGCTGTTCATCGTCTTCAACAGGCTCCGATTCCTCCCTCGCTCGTTTTCTTTCACGCGGAGAATCGAACCCACCGAAGACTGATGCTTTGCGTTTGCCTTGATCGTACAATGAGTCTCCACTGCATGCAAATCCCACTGAGGAGAACTGACCACGTCGATTTAACGGAAGATCATCTAAATCGGCCAGTGATGCAGGTGTTCCGGGAGCAGCAGTTTCTACATCAAATTCGATATCCGGCTCTGGCGATGGCGTCGGCCGGTGCATGGGTTTGCGGCCACGTTTCTTTGGCACATTGGGTGTCGCAGCCGATGTCGCGGCTGCACTTGGACGACCGCGAGTGGAACCTATCTTCTGCGTGAGCTCGCATGGTGGGGATGTTCGATGAGACCCACGTCGAGTTGATATAGCCGATTCGACCTCTTCCGCGTCTGGTAGTTCACCGGTAACAGATCCTGCGGGTGATCCACTGTCTGCTTTAAGAGTTTCGACTTCGGCGGATTCTTCAACCTCATCGTCAGGGGATTCGGGATTCTCGTCATCTTTGCTCTCTTCGATATCTGATTCAGGCTTTAGCTCAAGCAGGGTTTCTGGTTCGACATCAACAGGCATTGCAACATCTGAGGCCTCTGGAGCTTTAGACGTTGACCGTGATGGTGCTAACGGCGACTCTCCCTCCGTTTTGACCAAGTCTTCGACATCCATGATAGCAGGAGATGGTGATTGCGCTTCAGGTGTAGCCTCTTCCTTCTCGGTGTCGCTGATGTCCATGCTAACTTCGAAACCGTCTGAGGAGGGAACCTCGGCTGCTAGTGGAGGACTCGTCGGTCCCTCTTGCGCAACTTTCATTGTTGCATCGCTCTCTTGCAGGATTTCAAGTGGCTCCGACGGTTCATCTTCACTTGCCGACAGAGCGACCGCTGGAGGAGGTTCTACAGGTTCCACCTGGATTCTATCTGTGATTTTGGTTGCATCGACTAATCGTGGCGTACATACCGGTGTAGCACTGTGCACTTCGATCGGCTGGACCTCGTCCGGCGTTTCATCAACAAATTTGTTCGACTCATTCTCTGGAACTTCGGCCGGAATGTCTGTCCCAAGTCTGAGTTCGTCAATTTCATCAGATATAGACCTGTTGGCCATGTTATTCGACCGTGTACGGATGAAAACCCAAGTTTGTACTTGAAGTGCTCTTCTTCCGCTTCGATCAACGTGCGCAGCTCCTGAACACGCTCAACATGATATTTTTCGGCAAGTTTGAGATGTGTGGGTGCTGGATTGGGTCATTGGGCGCCGAAGACTCAAGAAGACGGGTATCTACCGTGCACTGGATCCTCCATCGCGTCTCTTGCCAATAGTGAGCTAGAATCACGAAAGGGCAGCTGAGCTCATACAGTTCTAGCCCCGCCTCTATCATCATCGCATCGTACATCGCGTGGCATGACTATGATACATGAGCTTGGTTTGGTGGAGAATGAGCTAGAAACGGTACCTGAGCGGTGAAGTAACTTTTGGGATGTGAAAGGAGGGGGTGTTTAGACAGAGTGCGAGAGACCTGGGTCCATGATAGACCAAACTCCCAAACAGCTTGCGAAAGAACGAGTTTATCCAAGGCAGAGACCTCTACGACAGTCGATTTGGTCCTTGGCGACATGCCGGGGGATTGTGACATAATGGCAGCGTGACGATCATGTCACAACTGCGGTAATAATAGGGACGTCATCGTGACCGTAAGCAGCCCTCTCTCCAGTCGACCACCATGATGTGGAAACCCGCCTTCCTTGCCCTCCTTCCCTTCGTTTCTGCGAGCGTCCAAAAGCTTAAGCTCTCCAAGGTTACGCCTTCGGCTGTCTCCAATCCTGAGGCCGAGGCCTACTACCTCGCTGAGAAGTATGGTGTTGCTGTCCAACCCCAGGTTCCCCTGATGGGCGCAGGAGGCTCCGGCCGCCGCGTCAGCCGTCCTTCCAGCAACGGCAAAGAGCAGCTCTTTTGGACTCAGGAAGATGTCAAGGGCGGTCACAGCGTCCCTCTCACCAGTGCGTCACCGACGTCGTCGTCATCTTCTGCTCGGTTGCCGACCGATTAAAACGCTACTAGACTTCATGAATGCCCAATACTTCACTGAAATCCAGCTGGGTACCCCTCCCCAATCTTTCAAGGTACGCGTCATCCGTCTGAAGTCTACCCCATGCTAATGACTCATTAGGTCATTCTTGACACGGGGTGCGCAGGTCGATGTAGCCGCATGGTCACAGGGCACTGATACTTCCGCCAGGTCTTCTAATCTTTGGGTCCCCAGTTCCGGCTGCACCTCCATTGCGTGCTTCCTGCATGCAAAATACGACGCGTCTGCCTCTTCGACCTATAAGAAGAACGGGACCACGTTCGAGATTCATTACGGGAGTGGCTCGATGGAGGGATTCGTTTCCAACGACATGTTCACCATCGGGGACCTCAAGGTTCCGAAGTTAGACTTCGCTGAGGCTACCAAGGAGCCTGGTTTGGCGTTCGCCTTCGGAAAGTTTGATGGTATCCTTGGTGAGCCTAGTTGAGCCGAGCAGTGTTGCATAATCTTGACCATGGACAGGACTTGCTTACGACACCATCTCTGTGAACCACGTCACACCCCCCTTCTACGCCATGGTCAACCAGGGTCTACTCGATGCTCCCGTCTTTTCCTTCCGTCTCGGATCTAGCGAGGAGGACGGCGGTGAAGCCATTTTCGGTGGAATCGACCACACAGCGTATTCGGGTAAACTTACTTATTTGCCCGTTCGTCGCAAGGCCTACTGGGAGGTTGAGCTCGAGATGATCAAGTTCGGGGACGATGAGCTCGACCTCGAGAACACCGGTGCTGCCATCGACACCGGTCAGTGGATGGTGTTTCCAGCGACGATAATATTTACCAATTTCAGGGACGTCTCTGATTGTTGTTCCCACCGACGTTGCGGAGATGCTCAACGCGCAGATCGGTGCTAAGAAGTCGTGGAACGGGCAGTACACTATCGAGTGCAGCAAGGTCCCTTCCCTTCCAGACCTCACCTTCTATCTCGGAGGCAAGCCTTTCCCGATCAAAGGATCAGACTACATCATGGAGCTCTCTGGCACGTGTATATCCTCGTTTACTGGAATGGACCTCAACATTCCCGGAGGCGATCTCTGGATCCTCGGTTAGTTGATCAACCTAGCAAACTTGTCAAACCTGATTCGCTTTAGGGGACACTTTCCTGCGCAAGTACTACACCGTCTACGATCTTGGACGAGATGCTGTTGGCTTTGCCGATGTTGTTTGAGCTAGCATCGCTCGGAAGCTGTTCAGTCTCAGTTGTGTTTTGTGTACGATAGGTTCTCATGTGAATAATTATGTCTTGGACAACTGTAGACGTTTATTCCAGCCATGTGTCGTCACGTGAATAGTCGGACATGCTTTCAGTTCGACGCGTTTACTCACGTCCAAGTTCCAAATGGGTTTCAGTGGGTAAGGAACATCTCTCTTTTGCAGACGAGCCACTGCATACACAATAGCTTGGCGCGATGGGTTAATGCCCCTCCTCACGGATTGAAGCTCGTCCAAGACAACATTCTCTCCAACCACAGTGGTCAATACAGAGGACCGTGGAACCTGCAAGTTCGCTCATATCGATCTACACTGGGTCAAATACCCGGCGTCCAGTTGCTTGCAGAAAGGACGATGTGCGCCTTGACCATGGACCAGAATGTCTTTGTCCTCGTCGAAGACCCTCTGGCTCCCAGCAGAGCAGATTTCTTGGCAGCGGTGGGTCCGAATGGAGAACCCCCGAATGCCCCTCGTCCTTCCCACTACCGGACGACATTCCTAACTCTACGACCGCCAGGAGCCCTCGAACAGGTGTGCTCCATGACTGTTGGCGGCCATCCAGGAATCACATAATACGTTTGTGCAGCTCATGATGCAACTCAAAGCGCGCTGGGTGCCAGTACGCGCTCCGACAGCTGGAGCGCCCCAGCGAGGACAGTCCAGCCAGCAACTTACCATCGACGGCGCTATCTTCGCCATTGGCTCAGATTGGCTGGTCCGCATTGGCAATGTCGTACTCGCTGGCGGCGCAGTGAAAGGAATGCTCTTAGAAGTAGGTACCATTTTATCTCTTGGAAGTCTCTTCTGATGCTGTCAATGATAGGCTGAATATCTTCCTCTGCCCGTCCTCCGGTCTCCTATCGCAGATGGTACATCGGAGTTGTTGTCGAATCTGCTAACCTCGATACTTCCCAATCTGCCTGATGCGAAGACGGTGGCTGTTAACATTTCGGATGCTCAGGTAGCCTACCCTTCTGACTTGACATCACTTCATTGATCCAGAGAAGTGGAACGACGTTCTGTTCGACGAAGACGACTCCGAATCGCCGGGATCGCCCGGTGACTCTGGCATGGAGGACGAAGACATCTTCGTCTCTGGGGAGGAGAAATCCACAATCTCCAGGCAAGATTGGCTCGGAGTGAATCGAGATCGGCGCGCAGCTTATCTCATCATTGGCGGTCTCAAGTATGTCTGTTTTGGCTTCAGTTTTTGTGTGTTCTAACCCAATCCCAGGTCAGAAGGTATTCTATAGTTAGGATGTTCCTCATTATCACCGTAGCTCTATTGCCGAATATATGCCCGAAATGAGGCAGAAGTGCCCAAGTCTTGACTATGCTTCGCACACCTTGGCCTTGAGCTCCAGGCACTGGGGCACTGGGACGCACTTCTTCGTTCGCATGAGTACATTACAGGCCGCGAAAGCCCGGAACGTGTGTCTTGGCATCAGTTGGTGGACCATCGAGATCATTCCCGCGGTGTGATGTCAGATGTCAGGGTGACTCGAGGCTCGCGTTACCGTACGTTGCCCTCCATGTGTTAGACTGGCCAAGAAGGCAATGGTCTCTTTCGCACTATGTTCAATCTGGGCAAACAAGCGTCCAAGCGCTGTGGTCGAGGCTACGCTACCAGTCCAAGCCAACACCGGCTTTTCTATCAAAACAAACAACTCGAGCTCTATGCTGCGAAGGAGGCAAACCGGCTCACATTGAGGCAATTGGTGCGCATGCATATCAGAGCTCTGAATATGGCGGTGTCTTATCCTCTCTCCCAAGATCTTCTTCGGTCGGTCTATGAATGAACAGAGACTCATCAAGGTGAGCAAAACGTCCCTAGAGCGTCTGTGCGTATGCTCAACATTTTCGGCATCATCTAGAGCGCCAATTATGTCCGGACGGAGCCTCCGATTCGAATCGCACATAGGCTTCGAGACATGCAGGCCTTGCCCTACATCGTCAGTTATTGCTCCTAACCGGCCTTTCCTGAGTGTGCTGAATCGGGGCCACTCAGGTCATGACGCAAGAGGGAGTGGACGAGGTTTATGAGGTGAGGGTTTCCGGGCATCGACACGTCTGAATAACGCCTTCTCAGATGTACTGGACTGCTTTCGACAAGTGAATTGTGGACCGCTGGAAGCAGGTTGATGGTATCTGACATCCCCAAGATTACGGCGATATCCTCCGATCACAACTTTCGCTGAAAACATTAAGTTCTGCAGCAGCCTATCCGAAGTGCTGCAAGAACAGTCAGTGCGGGATCTCGAACCAAACCCATTGTTGTCTCACACAGCAGTTCAGCTCGACCGTTATACCGAACCTGGCACTGGGCCTTTCTTTGGCTAGCCCGCACTTGTCTGCCGATGCCCTGGACTCTTTCCTCCGTCGCATGCTCATCTCAAGGATCTCTCGACGGGTGTTGGCCGAGCATCACATCGCCTTGTCTGCAAGTCTCGCGGACAAAACCACGACTTCGAAGGACTCTCAAGTGGGGATCATATTCCCCGGGCTGAATGTTCAGGAATGTATCGAAAGATGTGCCCATATTCTGAGGGAACCCGGGGATCATCTACCAGAAGTTATCGTGGATGGTCAGCTCGGCATTCAATTTGCTTACATCAGAGAGCACCTCGAGTACGTTCATCATGTTGACTTGAGCCAAAATTGATTGTGCTCAGATACATCGTGTTCGAGCTGCTGAAAAATGTGCAGTAAATTCTTCGCGGCTGAAAACGATGTCGCTGATCCCAACTAGTCCATCCAAGCCACCAGTCTGCTGCATCCCTCAAACCCTCCTCCCATCAGAGCTACGGTGTTCTCCGGAAAGGACAATGTTGGCATCCGTATATCGGATCGGGGTCAGCGTTCCCCGACTGACGTGGCTCAAAATCCAATCTAACTCAATCTGGGTCGCAGGTGGCGGACTTGCTCACACCCGTGTCAGCTCATGTTCCGATCTGTTTTCTTTCTCGCATCACCGCAATGCATCCCGTCTGCAAGACGGGCGGATAGGCGCGCTGCGGTCAGCCAGCAAGAACCCACGGGGAATGCGCGCAACGGTGGACGAACAAGTCGACCGATGGCAACAAGAACACGAGCAGGATTATGGCTCAGAAGACGAGGAAGGAAGACAGCGGATTGGGATTGGGCTGCCCATGAGCAACATCTTTGCGACGTATTTTGGTGGATCCTTGGATCTTGTCTCTCTGAACGGCCTGGGTATGATGTATATGGTTCCGCTACCTGCGGTGTCACTGACACTGGGCAGGAACGGATGTCTATCTCCGTCTTCCGAAACTCGTGAGTGTCTGTGCCATTGTTCCAGGCCCGTCATTGACATGATGCGGCGCGATAGGGCACAAACTTGGAGGGCATCGAAGTTTAGAAGTTGAGGAACGATCATGATACTGCGCGTGCCATTCTATTCTTCAGACGTTCTTGAATTTCTTGATTTTCGGTGACGATCGTGCCCATCCATGGTGACGGAGGGCGGCAGTATGTACCTGTGTTGGCTACTACCGTACAGCTTGTGTGCTAGCACCTACTCCCTGGCACGCTGCGACGGCGGCAACCATTGGATTGATCAATTCGGCTGGGAGGCAGCCGAAACTGTATGGGCGTTTACAAGGACTTCTCGGAGATGATCCATGTTTGCGTCCCGCTCTCCCTGTCTCTCTCTCTCGTCCTTCCAACTGCCGCAATTGGGCTGGATACGTGCAGGATTCACGGGACGCAGGGATGGATGATTCCCCTCCGGCGTACTCCAGGGATTATGTCCACCCGATGGCTCTGAAGAGTCTGCCCCTCGAGTCTAGAAAGGCACCAATTAGAGACGGATTCGCCAGGCCTTTACCCCTCCCTCCTGGAGCCGACACAAAGCCGGGTACGGCCCCACTACGGATCCACAAAAAGTCGCAATCGACCGCACCCACATCATATCACCAGGCTGCCGGTCCTGATAGTCACATTTGCCCTCCTTCACGAGCTGGATACCCAGCATACCCACCCCCTCCTCCTCCTGGGGTCGATAGATCCAGCATACCCGCAACTGCGGCCATAATCGACCCAAATTCATTTTACAAGTAAGCCCTCGTCCTTGTCGACAGAGAAATAAGCATTGACCTGGGATCAGTCACGCCGTCTCAGGGCAATTATCGCGCCCGCTGCCGCAGCGCAGCACATCCACAATGTAAGCACCTTTACGATCCTCATGACAAGCTACGAGAGGCTGAGTGCGGCGCCGTAGCCGATCCCCTGGGGTCAACCGTCACGCCTCGGGACCCCATGTACGATGGGCATGAACTGCTGACCACCCCATGTTGTATCATCTCTCGCCCACTTGTATTTCTCATGAAACACGGTTACCATATGTAAAGAGTGTAATAGAGTCGCGTTTAATAGCCCAGTCTTGTACAATAGTAGTGGCTTGCGTCGTCGTTTGCAGTGAGAGAGCCGACTCGCGAGTGGGAAGATGAAGAATTTGAGCAGTCCATCACGGTTCCGATCGGCGGTTGATTTAGCAACAACTTGTCCCTCATCCTCTCAACTAGAGCGTCCAGACAACATTCGTCCGTGCACGCAGTGGCCCCATGTCTTCTCGCAACGGGAGTATTCGAAGTCCGTCGGCTGCGTCCTTCCAGCCCAACTCTGCAGGACCGAGAGCACCTGGTTCCAATGTCACCTCTTCGAATTCCGACTACGTCTACTTTGACCGCTCGACGGCTGGTTTCGAAGCCGTTCTACCCAAAGCGAAAGGAGCGCAGATGAAACTGGAGCACTACTATAAAGTAGCTGTTGACTCTGCCATCGAACGAAACACGAGGTGGGTGGGCCAGAACTGGTAACCCCACAAGTTTATCTTGTATTTATGCTGGATGGGGATGCAGACGCGTGGAGCTGGAGCGGAAACTACAAACCGACAACACGACATCTGAGGAGCGAAAGCACCGCCAACTACTGCAGTTGGGCAAGAAAGAGTCGGTGCGTTGACTTGATGGCCACAGGATGCAGAAGACTCATCACCGTTTGTCAAGACCTTCCTTCGCCTGCGGCGCACAAAGCTTGGACTAGACGATTTCCGCACGGTTAAAGTGATTGGGAAGGGAGCGTTCGGTGAAGTGCGTGTTGTGATGCAAGCGGCGATACGTTGCTGAGAGGAGGGCCCAGGTTCGTCTTGTCCAAAAGGCCGACACAGGGAAGATCTATGCTATGAAAATGCTCCGGAAGGAAGAAATGTTGAAGAAAGATCAGGTACATGTGCTTTACTCTGCCGAGGTTTCCCCCTGCTGAGACTAACATATTAGCTGGCCCACGTCCGAGCGGAGAGAGATGTTCTGGCTGAATCTGCGTCCGAATGTGTGTTTTTGCCTGCTTCCCTTTTGTGTGTTGACTGTTAGTAGGGATCGTGCAGCTGTATTACAGCTTTCAGGATCCAACTTACCTCTATCTCATCATGGAATTCATACCAGGTCCACATTTATGAATCCCTTTGATTTCTGTGGATTCGCTGACCATGCTCTGATGCAGGTGGAGACCTGATGACCATGCTCATCAAATACGATACATTTTCGGAGGATGTGACAAGATTCTACATGGCAGAATGTGTTTTGGCTATTGAGAGCGTGCACCAGATGGGATACATTCACCGGTCAGCAGTAGAGTGCTCCGTCCGGGGCATTGCTCACTTTCTATAGGGATATTAAACCCGACAACATCTTGATGTGCGTCCGAGCGGCTCGTCTTGCTTCACTCTGGGTGTAATAGGTCACAGTGACAAGGATGGACATGTGAAACTCAGCGACTTTGGATTATCGACAGGTTTCCATAAGCAGCACGACTCAAATTATTACCAGCGCTTGCTGGACAATGCGCACAAAGATCCATCCCAAGCGTCTCGGAACAGCGTCATGGTCAACTCCATCAATCTGACAATGACGAACGAACAAATCCAGACGTGGAAAGCCAACCGGCGAAAACTGGTGGGGAATACTCTTTCTGTCTGTTGGTCAGCTCTGACTGGGGACACTGGATAGGCGTACTCGACTGTTGGGACCCCAGACTACATCGCACCAGAAATCTTCCAGCAAAACGGCTACGGCAAAGAATGTGACTGGTGGTCACTGGGTGCGATCGCATTCGAGTGCCTTGTTGGGTACCCGCCATTCTGCTCAGAATCGACGCACGAGACGTATCAGAAGATTATACAGTGGCAACACCATCTCATCTTCCCTGATGATGTGCACTTGAGTCGCCCCGCTGAAGATCTTATCCGTCGGTGCGTTGAGCTCTCCCATCTGCTGAGGGGGGCTCGAGTTCACTCTCTCTAGTTTGATTACTTCTGCGGATCGCCGCCTCAGTATTAATGAAATCAAAAAACACCCATTCTTCTACGGCAAGCACCTTCAGACAAACTTCTTCTGCCGTCATTGATTGTGCTAGGTGTCGACTGGGGGACCCTGCGCAGTATCGATTCCCCCTTTGTGCCGCATCTGAGGTCAGTCCCTGGGTCCGCCATATGCCATCGCGCGCTGACCTCCACCAGGTCAATCACCGACACGTCGTATTTCCCGACAGACCAACTCGAACAGGTCCCCGAGGAGATCCCTGCAGACGCGGCAGACGCTGCGGCCAACAAGGATCTTGCCTTTTTGGGGTGTGCCATCTTGCTGTTGATTATGCTCACCCTGTATTCACTATTTCTGGCAGGTACACATTCAAGCGCTTCTCCATCTCCAACACATTTTAGATACAGGGTACTGTTCGCACGTGTATTTATACTCATCTCAAATAAACCGAACCTCTGCACTTCTGCATCCAATGTCCTAACGGCATTTGCATGACTCATCATCCCATCTGTGATAATCGGCGATCCCAACCAATGACACGAATCATGTTCCTGCTCCATCTGTTGTACCGTAGAAGCAGACTTGCTGTTCACCGCAGAACAATGTCATTTCCTCCATTAGTTCACGCAATCTTTTGCTGTGCCGCACTGAATTTCCTAAACGGATTTGCGAGCGTTTACCCGACGGAAACGATTTCCATTTCCGCTGTCATTGATTGACGTCAGTCGCTCGTCGCCGTACTCGGCTAGATTTGCGGCCTCGCTTTCGTCCTGACTCCGTCTGTGCGTGCGATGTCTACCGCACAATAAGACGCCATCTTGGCAACAGCATGGCCATTCTGTTCTTCTCTCCTCCTTCCGGCTGTCTTTCCAAACCCACACCCACGGTAGTTCACACTTGCGCACTGCCACGCCGTAGTGCTTCTTGCCGTGCTAACTAGGCTATTTCGGTTGCGGCCGTTACGACACTCGATCGTCCTCTCTACTACGATGGCCATAGACCCTCCACTTGTGTCGTCCCCGACTCCGTCGTTCAAGCGCGCTGCTAAAGTGGACATCGGACATGTGTGCGTCGTCGTATTCAGCCTGATAGCCAACACATGTGCTCAATACATGCAACTCGTACTAGCCAACTCAGAGATGTGCTCATCTGCCCAAGACGACGAGGAGTTCTCAACTACGTGAAGGGAAACAGTATCGTCGAGTGCGACCTGCAGAACCCGTATAGCTCCCCTCGAACACTCGTCAAGCTCTTGTTCCAGCCGACCACCGTCAGCGCGCTACCTCTCGATTCGGGCAGCGAACACACACTCATCGCGGCAGGTGGAATGACAGGCGACCTCCACCTCTCCCTCCATTGCCCAACCTCCCCTGCCATGAAATCCAAGCCCGTGTGGAGGTTTGACGACCAGTTGGGCAGATCGATCAATAACTCGATCTTGCTCACATCTCTGAGCTTGACCGGCTCGAACGAAAGCCGAGTAGAACCGCGCATGGTCGTCAGTAACAACGATAACGTGGTCCAGTTCTTTGATGTGCCCATACGCTCGTCACCGGCTGAGATACGCCAGACCGGCGCGGTCTCATTCAATGTCCCCATCAATCACTGTGCGTGAATCATCTGCTTATACTTACATGGCTGACTGGGCCCGACTCCTTCTGCAGCCTCGATATCACCTGATGGAAGGACCATGCTCTCTGTGGGAGATTCTTCGAAGGTGTTTCTCCACCGTCTCACCGGCGGTGCCAGTGTCACGGCGGCACCAATCGCCACTCTCGCTTTACCCCCACTTTCCGACCCCTCGGTATCACCGGCGCTGGTCGCGTGTTTCTCTTCGGCATTCTCGTCAGATGGCAGCAAGTACGCCGTGGCGTCGCAGGATGGATCTGTCATCGTGTGGGATGTCCGGAGTACGCGCCCGCTGAAGGTGTTCCGCACGAACAAGTCGAGACCCATTCCGCATGGGGCATGGTACTCTGAAGATCCCCAGGACTGGAATAGCGCCAACACCCCTGGTCCCGGATGGAGCACGCGCTCGGTCAAGTTTGGAGGTCCTCCGGGCCGGGAACTGATGCTGTTCACGGAGGTGAGTCCGCTTCCGGCCCTTGCCGTGCAAACTGATAGCAAGACACTCGTTGCAGCACACCTCCCTCATACATGTTGTTGACGCCAGAACATTCGAAACAGAAGAGATTCTGTGCATGCCCCAATTCACCGAGAAACGCAGCCCCCAACAGTTCTCTCCGCCGTCGCTGACGCCGTCATTCCCCGCCACTCGGGCACGATCTCCATACGCTCATCGGCATTATGATGTTCGCAGCACTCTGGAAGAGACCTTCCGCATCCCTAGCGCCGACGACATTCTTCTCATTCCGCATCTGGGCGACCCGTCGGTAGAACGAGACCTGCAGATGGTGCTAGGCCCGGGTCTTATTCCCGAAGATGGCATCTTCGCTCGTAGCTCTGAACTTCCCTTGCCTGAGATGGAAGTTATGCGTGAAGAGTGCTCGAGGACACCGTTTCCGGATTGTTCTGGCCCGCCGGGTCCTGTGGACCACTGCGATATCGCCGGAGCATGTTTTGATCCGTCCGGCGCGCATATCTATGCTGCCAGTGTGCACGGTGTGGCCGAGTGGGGTGTTAGGGGCGCCAACAAGCGTTGGTGGGTCGACAGCGATGATTGGCAGCGATGAGCTTGCCCCGTGAGGATTCAGAATTCCCTGGACGTTTATTTATTTGTTGTAAGTGTACTTTGTACTGCCACCAGTGTATTATGCAATTGTAAGCAAGCCGCCCCCTGTCATCTCATCTCGCCCGATGATGACAATCTAATCTAATCTTGGAGATCACTCCAAGCGTAACCTCAACCAAGTCAGCAGACCCTTTGTTCCCTCGCGTTCCCAGACTCGTCGGGCAGGAACCCGGAATCTGCAATCGAGCATGAGTAAGCCGGCTTCATATAGCGCCATTACTCACAGATTCCCATCCACCAAAAAGGAGTCTAACGGCAGCAAGCCCAACTCCGCAGGAAGTTTGCTAATTTCGTTGTCACGCAAATCCAACTCTTCCAGCGTCCAACCGGGCACATCTCGATTGCCTTTGAATAGTACAGCCAGGGCCTGGAATCCATCCAGCTCGGCTATACGGTTCCCACGCAGATGCAGCTGTTTGAGGCCCTTGTGGAGATTGCCGTCGGCCGTGAGCAGGCCCGAGAGTGTAGAATCGGTGAGCGAGGCAGCCGTGAGCTGGTTGTATGCGAGATTGAGATTTCGCACGCTTGGGAAGAGTTCCGCAATGAGAGGCAACGTCGGACGAGTCATCGATGGCACAGCAATGGTCTCCTCGGCACTGGCAATCGAGACAGACACGGAATCACCCAAATTGCACCCTTCTAAGTTCAGTTCTTCCAACCGCGGAAGAAGAGGCTCTGCCGGCGATGCGGCTGGCAAAGTGAAAGACCGGTCGAGTCTTCTGCTGTTGAGCACAAGCACTTTGAGATTTTGTGCGAATGATTGAGACGCTATCAGGGAGAGGGGCAAAGTGGCGGTCGGAAGTGCAACATCGCTTGCCCTAGGTGCAGATAGCTTCTCGAACGCAGTAGAGGCCAGAGAAATGGCTCGAGCATGACCGGGTTTTGCAGCCACAGATGCCGGCAGAGTAAGCGTGTCAGTCCGGTTCGAATAGTACTGTGGATCAGCCAAGGTGAGCATCTTGGTGGGTGACGATTGCCTTGGTGGTTCTCCAATCCCAATTTCCTTCGCTGCAGCTGCAGCGGCCCTGGCACGTCTCCTTCCTCCTTCCGTTAGAAGTCCCTGCTCGGCTTCGATTTCCCAAGCTTCTTTCACAATCGGAACAGGCTTGACAACCGGTTTCAACGCAGCTTTCTGTGCTTTTGAAACAGAAGGCGGCGCGTTTTCCCAATCCAAACCCAGAGGTTCCGCGGCTTTCTTATCCGCTCGTGATTTGGCTTGACGCTCTGCCTCGATTTCCCATGCTTCTCGGACGAGCTTCTTCCCCACGATGATGCACACGGTCCCACTGGGTGGCTCGTCGTTTGTCACCTCGAATGTCAGTTCCTTCTTCAGACCCTTGAGACCACTGCGCGCGCCCCCCTCGGTGACTTTCGTGTACCCAAAGTCCAGCACGGACAGCGAGGGAAAGGGATCGTGGGAATCTGCAACGCTGTCGAATATCCCATCCGAGATGTCTGCTCGTTCGAAACGAAGCACTTTCAATTTAGGGAGTGTCGCCAATTTCGCTAGCAGTTTGCTGCAGGCCTCTGGACCTTCTGAATCGAGATGGTTGGAGGACAAGTCCAAGTTGATTAATGCCTTGGGCAAGTCCAGGTCGATGGCGACGGCCGAAAAATCGTTGTTCGACGCGTCGAATATCGCAAGTTTGGGAAGCGGTACTGTTGATCTTTCGATGGCCGGTTCACCCAAGAATCCATGTGATGCGAACGTCGGTTTCTTGGTTACTGCAGACGCAAACGGTGCGGAAAAGGGTAATGACGTCAGGCGGTTGTGAGAAATGTTGAGGTTCGAGAGCGCGGGCAGGGAGAAGATGTTCGGAGGTAGTGAAGTGAGAGCGTTATGCGAAAGGTCGAGAGTGGTCAGAGCGGCCAAGTCGGCGAATTCTTTGGGAACCATGGCAATCTTGTTCTTGTGAAGCTATGGTCTCATTCGTGAGCCTCGGAGGGAGAAGATAATGCTAGACACGCACATCCACAGATTTGAGCGATCCGAAGAGAGCTATTTCCGGCTGAATTTCTACGATCTCATTGCCCCATGCCTTTAGAATCTCCAAATCTCGTCCCTCGTACCACGCGGACGATTTGCGCACACGACCGGTTTCAACAGCGGGCGGAAGAGGAGGCTCGTCAGGAACAGACGGCAAAGGCACTGGATTGACACCCAGATGGAGCTCGAAGAGAGCGGAGGGTATACACTGTAGACCACGCGTAGAGAGATTCACGGAACCTGGGGCAACCTATTGAGATCAGCGAAACACAGACATGAAATGCATCTGCATTACCGGTCTGTTTGGCCTTCTCGATGGTCTCTCTTAGCGGGGGCCGACCCAAAATATCTTCTTCCTCAGGTGGTGGGGCATCCGGAATGGCATCTTCCAGCGTTGAAAAGTCGTCCAACGGAGTGCTTTTCGCTGCCTGTGCTTTCTTCGCCTCCGCACGTTTCAGGGCGATGGCCTCTTTGATGGAGAGAGGGCGATCCGCTGGATCATCGAGGACCGGAACTTTTGGTGCGTCGTTCCTTCTGGAAATGGTCGTGCTTTTGACGGGGGTCGTGGCGCGTTTAATGGAAGACGTCGTCCGGGTCCTCGCGGTGCCACCGGGGGTAAGTTTCGTCGGAGACTCTTGCGCGGCCTTTCGCGGCGTTCCTCTAACTGAAGGTGTTCCACGAGAGGGGGCGGGGATGCGGGACATCGATGGACTCGTACGAGTAAGTAAAGCAGCTGGCGTCGCAAGTTTGAGTGAACCGGAGGTGATGGCACGATCACGTGTTGATTTGATTCCGTGCCGTAAATCGATGCTAGTTATCGAGGGAAAGTTCGATGCAAGAGAGATGAGAATTAGAGTGAGACTCAGCCCGCAAAGTGAGTATCTTCCTAAGTACCGTCACTTCTGTCAAGGCATCGCCACTGACGCGTTGAGAATGATTGTGATGTCACGTGCGAAGAAATGCCACCCAGTGACTAGTCCACATAAATGCTGGAAATCCTTCGAGTTCAGTTGTCGATATTTGGAGTGCTGTGACTCCACTGAACCCTCGAAACGATTGCCATGTTGTTTCTGACTCCGCTCCTGTACTGTTGTTCCGTCGTCCAAGTGATCGGGCTGAACTTTCTGAAACACCGACCGGACATCAAACTTCACCAACAATCACCGATCTATGTTCTGTCATTGCTTCTTCCTTCTGTCTTCGACACAAGCAGTTCTCGTGTCGGCATTCACTTCTTCTGGAGCAGGTCTCTCAGCTACAGCTGGTCCTGCCTCATACTTCTTGTTCCAGCGGAACACCTTTCTTTTCTAATGGCACTCGCGGGTCTCGATGATACCACCACTAATTTTGCAATCCATCCCGATTAGTCAGTTGTCCCCCGGAATCCATCTCCGAAATGCTTTGAGCTTCTGTACAGCCGACAGGTCGCTGCGTTTGCGCTAGGATGGGTGTTCATTACGAGGTGACGTAAACCACCATTACGCGTAAGATAGTTTATTCACCACCAACCACAGTCTTAGATCTATCTTCTCGTCGGCTCTGGTCCAACGGCTGTTGGGCTTTGTGCGCTGGAGAACCCCATCCTCGGTCGGACGCCTTGATCTAGAGCGGTTGGGGCACGCTGAGAAAGCATCATGGGCTAGTTCAGATAGTGGCAGCAGGTGCGCTCATCAAACGCTTGTTCGTGATTCAGCCACCCATATCAGTGCAGTTCGGACCTTCGTCGTGGTTATATGAGCACAGCATATTTTGCACTATTTCTCTGTTTTCTCTTTGCCAGCATCGCTCAGTTCGCGTCTTTGCTTGCATTCCCGACAAGTAGTGATGCGGCGTGTGGTGTGTTTTCGCGATATGACGCCTTCTGTTGTCGGATTTAACGGGTCGTAGCATTTGTTGTTGCCTGGGGCGGGATGGCTGCGCAGTCCGGACGTCTGGTTGGCGCCCTCATCGTTCTGTCTGAACTCCGCAAGATGGGCATTGGTATACTGCGTTATGTACACCTGCTCGACCGGCATCTTACACTCATGTAGCGCGTTGGGAGTTTTGGGTCGCTGTTGGCTGGCTCATTGTGGGAATAGGTGCGCGATTAATCCCATTGCTTGTCTTGACGACCAATACATGTCTAGCCTTCATCTTTCTGAATAATGCTGTCGGAGTTGGGGTGCTGACGTGCGCATCTATCCAACACCGACATTGATAGCCGCGAACTGATTCATGTAGTCCTTTTGCACCTCTTGGTGTTGCGTACTGTGACCGGAAACAGTGGGTGCGCAGATCTCTCCCGGATACTCAACATTGATTTCTTCAGTTTCCTTCCCGCGTCACTCGTTTCTTCGATCCTTTATTTCTCTTTGGAAGTCTACGCTGTAGCTCGCATGGTGCTGTTTCTCTCCGGCACAGCGCAGATGCGACTGGTGATGTTTGATATCCGAGTCCTGCGACCTCTGGCGCTGATCTTGGTATGAGTTCTTGCACGGCTGGTCTTATAATTCTTACGACATTCTACAGCTCGAGCTCTTGACGCTCGTTCCGTCCGCTGTATTCACCAATACTGTTGCAGAGTTTGTCCCATTCAGTATCGGGGCATACGCTGTTTTATGTGAGCGATCTCATTCGTGTCACGACAGCTGTTGACTTTTCTGTGCTCAGTTGCCTTCAGCCACAAACAACGGCACCGGCCGACCGTTCCACGAGAGTCTGTGTTATCCTTTGAGACCTACCCTTCGGTTCAACCCTTCCGAGAGCCGCCCCACATGGCTCGTCCTGGTCGGGCTTCTTCTCAGATGACTGCTCCAACTCCAACGATCCGACATGCGTTCCCAACATCATACCAAGCTGATGGGTGGGAGTCACCTCGTAGCGCGCATAGTACGCGCACGATTGAGACGATGGGAGCACACAGCATCGATCAAGCCGTTGTGTCGGTCAGCCAAAGAGTACCTGCCGCTTCGCCTGCCATCATCCCCGTCAAGAGTCGTGCGATTGTACCATCTCAGATTGCCTTTGCAGAACGACTAGACCGAGACGACGCACAGGCGAACCTACAAGCCGAACGGCCCCGACCCACTCTCACCCTGCCGGATGTTGATAATGACGGTGACGATATCTCAGATCTCATCTCACCCGCTTCCCGGACGCAGCGGTCTCATTTCAGGCTCTCGCGGTTAATGGAAGGCTCTAGTCGACAGGTCTCATCTCGGACGTCGTTGTCTGCTTCGTCGTCGGCAGATTCGGTCGTTCGCACGTCCTTGCCGCCCGTCATGCGAGAATCATCCAGCTTGCAACGGAGCTCATTGACTTCGCATCACAGCATGGCGGCTGATTCCTCTTCCACCCACTCCGGACATCGGCGCAGTGTCTCAATTCCAATACCGTCTCGGTGGCCCACCTTCAACGGAGGGCAGCCTCGACCTGCTGTGCTCCCAACTCCCAAGCCGCCACCGCTCTCTTATACCGAAGCCCCTCGAGGGCCCAGACCTGCTCCGCCCTCAGTCCAAGGCCCCAGAATCAATTTCTGATTTACTTGCTTTACCCTATCGTTTATCTACTGACTGATGTGAACACTTGAACAACTTGAGTATGATTTAATTTCGGACGACATAACAGCACGTGATCGCATATACTCTACAATGACGGCGACATTGTCCTCCAAGGCCGCTGCGGCCGAGCGGCATAGACATCTGCTATCTAAGAAATGGAACACGAAAGATTTCGACAGAGTGAACGTTTTGGGAAACGACGGGTCTTATGGACACTCCGGATGCGTGAATGCGCTGAGCTGGGCGCGAGACGGTGAATTGTTGCTGGTGCGTCCAACCTGGTACATTGCGGATGGCTGGGATGAGGGTATTTTCATTGAAAGACTGCGGGAGATGACCGAACGTGAGCTATCCGCCGAGATATTGCGGCCTCTCGCGCACTGACGGCTGCTCAGAGTGCAAATCTGGAGCATGGACCCATCCCTCGAACATGACTATCCGTATATCTGCCGTGGCGTCTTGAAAACAGGACACCGGGCAAATATATTCAACGCCAAAATGCTCCCTCACTCGTCCAAGATGTGTGTGTGTGCACAAATACTAATCTGTGTGGGGCGCCATCAGCTCACGGGCCTCCAATAGTGCGACAGTATCGGCTGACGCTCAAGTCCGGCTGCACGACATGGGAGATCTGAGCGTCTCGGCCCCGATTTCTATCTCGGATGGACGATACAGCTGTACACAGACTCTGCGGTGCCACGAACAGCGGGTCAAGCGAATCGTGACGGAAGACAGTCCGCACCTGTTCCTCACTGTCGCAGAGGTGGGTGGTTTGCGAACTCCATTTAGCCACACTTCACCAGCACATCTACGCGCAGGATGGCTGCATTAGGCAACACGATATCCGGACGGCGCATTCATGCGGGGACGCATGTCCTCCACCGCTGCTGGATATCGGTTTCGAGCTCTCGACGCTGTCGCTTTCGCCATTGACTCCGTATCAGTTTGTCGCCGCGGGAGAGGCGCCCTATGTAGGCTGCTTTAGTATCGTCCTTCTTAGAACCATTCATGCGTCGATTCAGGGATATCTCTTCGACCGGCGCCAGATCAGCCGCCTTTCGATGGCGGAGCGTGCGCGATCCCTGAGGATGGGGGTGACCAATTGTATCCGCCGGCTCGGCCGGCAGGAGGGAACGCGCAAGCGTCACAACGACCATATCACCGGGTCCCGCATGTCTATACTAAATGGACACGAAGTATTGCTCTGTCAGTGATCATCTCATCGTGATCGTCCGAATCTCATCTTATCTTGCCTTGCAGCTTACAGTGGCGATGCGGTTTACCTGTACTCGACGCGAGATGACTGTGTGGGACAAGACGATTCCTACATGTCCGGCGTGCCTGTGGTTCCGCCACGACAATGTTTCAGAGGCGCTCGGAATGTGGACACAATCAAGGACGGCAAGCAACTAGGTAATAGCCTTTATGAAAGCCAACTCACTCATCTCCTGCAGTCAACTTTCTGGGCTCGCAGGAGCAGTTTGTCACATCTGGTTCCGACGATGGGAACATCTTCATTTGGAAGAAGGACGGCGGGTTGCATTCAATCTTGGAAGGGGATAGCAGCATCGTCAATGTGATCGAAGGACATCCCCATCTGCCACTGTTTGCTGCCAGCGGCCTGGACAGCACAGTCAAAGTGAATGTTCTATGAACTGGTCTACCGCTTTCTATCTGATGCTTGGCAGTTGTTTGGTCCAACCTCCAGTCCAAGTGTCTTTTCCAGAACCGCAGACGCTGAGGATATCATCGAGACTAACGAGCGTCGAACCGCTTCTGGTCACTTGCGACACATCGATATTATGACCATGCTGTACACGGCAACAGCTTCAAATGCGTCGCCAGATAACAATGGACAGTGTCAGCATCAGTGATTAATGTGAGAGTATCTTGAATATCCAGCATTAGTTAAACTATTCATCAGTTTGTCCTCTGTCGAGGGGCAAGTTGAGGGCGCATCTGAGGATGTATGAGTGGAAACTGAGGAACCAGATAATAGGACGCACCATCTCTCTGAAAATGGGTAACAATTTCGGCAGATAGACCAGATCGGGAGGCTGAATGGCAGCTCCCCGTTTTTTCTTCGATTTTTGGGGCGGCGGCGGTGCTTTCCGTGTAGGAAGAGGGGAAGGGACCATTCTGTGATTCGGGGACATTGGAGACGGACTTGGTGGAAGCGGCTTCGACATGGCTGCTACGAGGCTCCTCGGCAGTGGTGGCACGGGGGGAGAATCGTGGCTGCGGCGCACGGCAGTTCCGTTTCTTAATTCGTCTTTCACGGAAGACATGGACCGCGAGGATTTCAACGATATCGGACGTGGGACCGTCAACAACGTCTTGGGAGGCGGTCTTGGTGTTTGCATAGGTGTCTCCTCTGCCTCTGCACTTCGATCGGTGTCCTCCTCGCTGTTTCCCTCCTCGTCGCTACCGCTGTCCGATGCAGACTCAAACTCGCTGTCGTCATCGTCGTCCTCATCTTCCTCGTCCGTGTCCTGGGCGGCAACATCAATGGCGTCCCCGTGAATTAGCTCTCCAAAATCGATCTCCTGAGCCACTCCGTCCACCAGAGCTTTCGTCATCTCGTCCTCGGCATCTGCGTCATTTGCATTGGCACGCGCCTTACCAAAGCGCCGTCGGATTTTGTCTTCGTAGAGGACCTTCAGCTTGTAATGGTATACAGCCACTTTGTCCACCTCGTCCATAATGCGATCACGTTCCTCCCCAGTGTGCGGCAGAAGGAACTCGAGACTAAGTGGATCTCCGAGTCCTTCTCGAACGACAGTGAGGTAGAGCTCAATCCACCGCATGAGACTGCTGAAGAGCCCTTCGCCTTTCGAATGGACCTTGTGCACAAAATGGTAAAACGACTGCTCGTGTCGCTCAATCAGTGCGATAAAGGCTTGCACAGTTCGCTTGGGATCCTCTTGGGCGACTAAAAACACCGTCAAAAAGAGAGAGAGAAATCAGCAACATGAAAACAACATACGATCCTCCGTTCGCTCGACCGTCTTGATCAGGTCGTTGATGAAACTTTGCAAGTCGCCGATCGAGTCAGCGATACTAGCCGCTCGATAGACTTGTGCCAAAGGGGCATAAAAGATCGTGATGATGTCCCTGAGGAGCTCGGACGTAGATCCCTGCAACTGGTGAGAAATCGTCTTGCAACACAAGCCTCCCCTACTTGCCTCGAAAAGCAACTCGATTAGCTGCTCTCGATCTCGCAATCTAGAGTACAGGTCGGCAAGGACTTTAAGATCCTCGAACAACCATCCGTCCTCGTCTTGGGGGCCATCGTCGTCGTCGGAATCGTTCAGTGACTCGCGCTGCTTCATGTAAGCAGCATGAGCCCGATGGGCACGCGCGACCCTGCTCATTTGTGCACGTGAAAGGAACGGTGCGTCTGCTGCTCGGAGGACAACTGTGATCACACTCATCTGCTCCGCCGCTGTGCGTTGTTACATTCAGCTTGTTTTCACGCGCAGGACAGCCCAACGTACCAGCATCAGCCTTGAGCAGGTCCTGGATTTCCCTCGGTGCATAGACAAACTGGCGCATCTTCTCGCAGATCATGGGATCGTCAATCTTCTCCTTAACTGCCTCGATCTCTTCCTCCAGAGCATGGACTTCTTCCGTCAACGAACCGGTGAACATTCTGCTCCTCGTTGAGCGAAATGATCGTCATCAAGTCGGATTGAAACACACCTCTGCAGCAGACTTCTCCCACCAAATGGTTGGGCTAAGAACAAGTCCATCACAGCTTGTGCTGGTCAAGATTCAGTGAGGTGCCGAATGAAAGATGCGTACTTCGAATCATTGCTATGGGATTGCTGATGCGCAGAGCTGTCTTGAGCAGAAGATAGGGCATCAGCCCATGGATCCGTTTCAAAGAGGCGAAGCTCTCCGACGCGGTATCGGACGCGACAAAATGGTGGAACACAGTTGAGGCAAGGCTGAATCCATCTCTATTAGCCGAAACTTCACTGGAAGACGAACACTGACGACATCCTGGCCCATTCCAAAACAGCCTTGTAGTTGTCCGGCAGATCCCGCACGTTCGGAGTCACCTTCACCAAGGCGAATATGCGCGTCAAACCATCTGTGTGGCATGATCAACGCCGGGTCACCGATCACAGACAACAACGGCACACCTTTGCCCATGATATCACCCTTGACACTCTTGACGGCTGCCCGGAGGCCATCCACCCTATTCGCGATCTCTTTTGCAAACTGTTTCCTGCCCTCATCTCGGACTCGATCCGCCTCCTCTCTCCGGAATCCATCTTCGATCTCTTCTCGGCTCAGCACCGTCGGACCGGAGAGCAGAAACGAACGCAGGACAGGCGAGGATGCGATGACCGGAGAGGCTAGCAGGCTGTGTAGGTAAGCCCGAAGAGTCAGCCGGTTTTTTTCCCGGGCTAGTCTAGAGTTCTGCTGCACTTGAGATCCAGAAGGATAATCGTCCCAAGACTGTTGGCTGGCGAACGACGGTGCTGGGCTCAGCGGAGATGTAGCAGATGGAGGCGCAGTGACTGTCGTTCTGTCTTTGACCGGGGGAGACCGAATCTCCTCTGAAGGATGAGCCTTGCGCAGCTAGATAAGATTAGAGAAAGATCCGAAAGATGAAAGCGATAAGCACCTCCTCGGCGAGCGTTTTAAAGTCTCCATATCTTCTTGAAACGAAAACATCGGAAAGGTTTGAACGACGCGTGCGTATGATGAATTCCTATGCTCAAATGCCTTAGAGCTAGGAGGATTACGAATAAAGGATGGGACACACCTCGTGAACTCGACTTCGCACGCGCCCTTTATCCACTACTGTCCGCACACTGACGATATTCACTTCAAATATATCCTTGGCTGCCTCCAGATTCCTCGCCTGTCGTCGCTTCGCCGCAGCCTCCAGTCTTTCCAGATCAGATTGCGTCAGTCGCACGACCTCCTCCTTATCCGTAAGTTTTGTGGCCGCACTAAAGAACAAGGACAGATTTCGTTGCGCCTTGGCAAGCAGTCTTGACCGTAAAGCCGCCTCGGATCCCTCTTCTCCTTGATCAAACACAGAGGTCGGCGACAGATTGCGCTCCATCACAGAATTCGTGAATGGCTGCAGCTTGTCGGAGTAGAAATCCTTTGGAGCAGACGCCATGAACGGGAAAGTCAAGACGAACTGTCGGAAGATGTATCGGAGAAATGGGAGGTCGAGCATCGGTGAGTTCTTGGGAGGTGGACTGAACGGTGGTCCGAGGTACGATAGGGCGGATACATGACTGGGTGTGGGCGAGGTGATTTCGTCTAGCTCTCGTTCAAACTCGAGCTGGATGAGGGATTTCTTGAGGTAGTGCGCGCGGAGAGGCGTCAGCCCTGTTGTTGAGGGTGATTCTTGTACTGGAGAGGATGCAAGTGGAATGGATTCGCTCGGGTCCGTTGAATTCGGTGTGCCAACTTCATTCAGCAGGGTCTGTGGTGATTGTGGGGTGGGTTGTTCATAGTCAACGTTCTGAAGATCCGGAAGCGCGGGCACAGATCGTGTGGGTCGTTGTGGGCGGTGAGCAGGATTGGATGAGTTCGGGGTATCCATAGACGTGTGTGCAGAGAGTTGAAGCTGGACGAGATCTCGGCAGAGAAGGTGACAATGATGTAATGGATATGATCTCAGCGATCAATTCCGCCATGCTATGCAACTATCCACTGCGCTTGGAGTTTGGGGCCTTCCTTCTAATTTAGGGAGGTAGCACAGGGACATATCTATATCAGAACCACTATATCTGAATTTCACTGTCAAACAAAACATTCGTTAAAATGTCCATGCTCGCTCACGTTGAAATCAAGTGATTTTTAACAATGAAGTCACGTGTCGAACATCATTACCATTTTGAAATTACCACGAAAGTCGCCGATCCTATCATGATCACAGGGCATACATTCAATTCTCTACGACAGAATACAGCTCGATCTGTCAGTGCATGGCAGCAACTTAACCAAGGTCCCAACAAGAGTTCAGTGCCCTTCACACCAATCACGAGGTTCTAAGGGTCGTGAAGATGAACGGGGTTGTGCTATAATCCGAGAGAGCACACAAATGAATCAGACACCGGATGCCAAGTATTCTTGCGGCGGCTCTGGATCACGAGCCACTGGTCGATAGCATTGGTCGCGAAGGACAGGTCCGTACAGGTGCCGCCAGCGGAGAGTAAACTAGCTCTGCTGTAGTTCAGGATAAGGATCAATCCCCGAAACGCACCTGCTTCTCCCCTATATGTTATCCCGTTCGCATCGAGGAGGCGGCGTATTCTCATGCCAACAGTTCGGACGCCCGCTCGACAGGGTTCCAGCTCACGCCATGTGCCTGCGGCCGTCCAGCACTCTACCAGAGAAATCGGTTTGGAGGGAGCAGCACGCAACAGTGGGATAGATATTCACCAGAACATGCCTGACAAGGATGAGTGCTTAGTTGACAACATGAGCGGATCACCTACTCTCGACGCCGCGCTGATCGTCTCTGCTACGCGTCAAGGGGGTGTCTGGTTTCATATACGGTCGACTCACCGACTTCCAATTCATTCCGGGCATGCAGCGCGACTAGGATGTCGGCGAGGTGATTCAGCCCGAGTAGCCAGGTGTCCGATCCAGATGAGTCGGGATTGGTGCAGTTGTCCGTGAGCAAAAACGTAGGTGAAAGAGCGAGAGCAGAACGAATGACCGCCTGGTTCTCATTGAGCGCGAGACTACTCGAAGCCTTGATCGTGTCGACTACAAAGCGAGCGAAGTCTGTGTGCGGGGTGTGCTAACGTTGGAGATCAGACGGCGGAATCGACCTGGAGCTCGAACGAACGAACAGGGATCTCGGCCATGGATAGTGGGAAAGCAAGAAGAGCGAGTGACCGGCTTTGCTGAGGAAATACATGAAGTGTGTTTGATCCAGGAACCTTGACTGAATCTGGAGAGAAGGGTTCGAGAAGTCACCCGTCAGATCAAAGTTTGCTACGTTGAGGATCCCTCCCTCACACCATGTCCATTTTCACCAAAATCATCTCTGCAATCACCCCGCCGCCGGTATACAATCCGGAGCAGTACGACGGGTTCGAGGTCTGGCGCTTGTCCTCGCTCCCCAGCCGAATATACTGATCCCGTCATTAGCTTCGCTGGAAAGTGTTCGTTTTCAGACCAGCACGTAAGCCCCAGAAATTACATCCGAACCGCAATTAAGCCATCCAAGTATTCCAGAGGGAGATATTTATTCTTGCTGGCGTGCTTCTATACGGTCTGTTCTTCCTGTACGGCCGGTGGGCAAATTCGAGACGGGTGCACAAATGGTTGGAGGCTCATATGCCTATCCTGGAGGTACACATGCTTCATCTCCTGTGTTTATATAAAGACCTAATGAGTTACATGAATCTTCGCTGTGTCTAGGCCCAATTTTCCAAGCCAGACAAGTTGATACAGGACGGAAACAGTGACTTCTTCAACTTCTCGACAGGCCGCCGCAATGTCTCAGTTCTGCACTCGATCTTCACGCTTCGGCCTCGTCATGACCTTGTCCAATGGCTGTTCCAGACGCTTCGCACCTTCGTGGACCTTCAATATCGGCCCCAGGACGACTTGCAGCTTGATTTTAAGCTCGCTCCCGGTGCTCTGGCGCACGATTTCGTGTGGGGTGTGGTGGCTAAGAACGAATTAATGTTTGTGAAGGACAACCGTTGGGATTTGGTGCGTGCAGCGCCAATTATCTTCTGATGACCAGCAGCTCATCAAGTACAGACGTTCACCAAAACCACGGAGTCTGCTGCCTTGCCCTCCAGATTTTCTGTGATGTCTGGTAAGTTACCCGTAGTCTCCTATGAAAGACAATGCTAAGTGCATCTTCTAGAGCTGGCCGATGTCACCGACGGTATCTTCAAGGCATATCCCGTTGCAAAGATTCTCGAGGACCCGAAAATCGCGCCATACTTTCGTTCTCTCAGCGTAAGTGGTCCTTTGATCTCGATTTCTTGCCTTACTGAACAACCGAAGGTCACTGATCAACCTCGTGAGCGACCCTTGAAACCGCTAACCCCGGCTAAACGAGAGCAACACGTCATCCTGAGCCTGACTGTCCCCTCGACGTCTGAAGCACATGTCACTGCAGACCTGGTTGCGGCGATGTTCCCATTCGTTGACTCTCTTTCCAAGGTGGTCCTTCGTCCAGAGACGAAGACCAAGTTGAAAAAGGTCCGGGAGGAGACCGATGCTGCTATCGTGAAAGCAGCAGAGAAAGAAAAGAAAGAAGAGGTTTGTCGTCGACGTGTTGATCTCAGCTTCCGATTCTAACGCTTTGGCAGGAGGCCGAGGCTCTCGAGGCGAAAAAGGCGGCCAAACGCAAGGCTGCAGAGGACCGCATCGCCACTCTCAGTGCGGCTGATCAGAAGAAGGCTCTTGAGCGCGAGCGAAAGCGGAGTGTGCGCAAGCAGCAGTCCAAGATGTCGCGTAAATGAGCGGTGCATATTAATAATACTGCTAATTAGCTAATCAATGCGATGTGCGAGATGTGGGAACAGTCAGCGAGGGATTATCAAGCTCTACTGCTGTGCTTTTGCCCTCGGGAGGACTTTCCGATGCGACGGGGCCTCCTCGAGCAGTGAAGAATCGCAAAAGCCACATGGGTCTGATCGCACGATGCTTGACGGGTTCTGGCTCCTCTTCTTGGGGCGACGGCGGGCGTAGTGGACCCATTTCCTCCAGACTCTCTTCTTCGGCTTCACTCTCTGTTCGCCCGAGATGGTCGACCAGTCGTCCCTGGCCGTCCAGTGTCCACTGTAGACGATTGAACCGTCCATGGGCTCCACGTTTGCCGGGTGGCAATCGGCGACTGCCAGTTCCAAATACCTTGTCCCGCAGGGCAAATGTCGTATGCCGAGGCTGGCTCGCGGCGTGCCAAAGTTCCGGGACGATAAATTGTTGTGTTTCATACGTGAGAGAGTTCTGGGCTTGGCTGATATCCTTCGAAACGACTACCTGGGCATCGATTTCTGAGATGACCTGGGTCTCCCGAGCAAGCTGGTTCAATGCAGGTCCGTGGTGGACGAGATCGCGCTCCAAGCGAGCATTGGTCTCGATCAAAGAAGTGGTCAGTAGCTGGAAAACCCATGAGAATGACGACCCAGATGCTGCGACAGGAACTGGCCTTGACACAGGCTAGAACGTTGTCTAAATATTGTTCTCTTCGCCACATGACCAAAAACTGCCCGCAGAGAGCGACATCAATGCGCATTCTCTCCGGATGAATCACTTCTAGGCCCCTAAAAGCCTGGGAATCGGCGTGCCAACTCCTTCGTCTAAGAGAAAATAGATTAAGAACTAGGTTGTGTCATGAATGTCAAACGAACCTTGACAAAGCTGGGATGCTGCGGCGAGAAGGTCTGGCTGGTGCGTCGCTGAGATAGCCAGCAGCCTCGGTATCCTCTGGCTCATCGTGAAGAACGTGCTCGTCGTCGTCGTTGTCGAGGACGAAGGCTCTCGCAAGGCCGCTTGCTGTATATTTGCGCTTCTTCGGCCGACTTGCAGCACTCCCGTCGCTGTCGCTTTCATCGAGCGCTTGAGCGCTGATGGGATCAGACCAGCTCGCAATTCTGGCTTGAGCAGCCCTGATACCGGGAGGCCTTTTAGTATTGAATGCACTTAGTTTGCGCCCGAATTCCTCTGAGGTCACCAGGTTCGCAGCCGAGCTCGCCGCAGATGGATAATTTTCAATCTGGGTGGGTGTCCTCGGGTCCTCGGCTGGAAGGTTCTTTGAGCCGTAAGAAACAGACAAGCTGCGCATGCCCACCTCCTAAAACCGGCGATGCCTGTCCGCTGCTGAGAATATCGTCTTCCCCCACATCAGGGGATGGGCTAAACTCTTGTAGCGGGATTCGCGGTCGCTTTCTGACGAAGCTGGGGCTACTGTGTTCTTCGAGTGAGTTCCGCCCTGAAGACAGCTCGACACTTTGATTCGGATGGTGGGGATGAGATGGCTTTTTGCGTTCCAGGCGGCTGAGCCTATGAAAAATCGGTTCTCTTTCATCAGTTTTCCAGTCTGCGCACCTCGTCCACGACTCGAATTTCTTCTGCACTCGATTACCCCATTTATCATTGAGGGCGCCACCGGTCTCATCTTCCGTTGAGCGGCCTCCGTCCCTGTCAGCTTTGATGCGAAGTTCCTCGTCGTCGCCATCGCTCAAAGCACCCGCGTTGGCTCGATCGCCTAATTCTCGTCTCCGAATGGCAACCTGAAGCTCCTTGTCACGCAAGGCCGCCACTTCCCACACAAGACCACTCCACAAACCACGGACAGTTCCGGCCACACCATTCAGGATGCCCGCTCCCTTCTCTTTGCGCTCTCGATCGACGCCTGAAGTGCCGTCGGCAAGTTCCGTGGCCCCTGTCAAAGCACGCTCACGGCCTTTGCCGCCGAGGATCGGGATTCCCTTTAGATTAGCCCTGTCTTTTGAGCCCCGGCCTTTCCCGACTACAGTGCGAACGAATGCTTCCAAATCGACACTCGGTTCCAGTACACCTGAGGCAGCAGCAGCCCCGCCTCCGACATTGAGGCCAACGAGACTGCCGATACCTGTGAGAAGCTGTCCACTTCCTTCCCCGGCGTGGTCCTTGTCGCCTTCGGAACCACTTGCGCTGTCGCTGCTTTCTCCATCAAGCCTCAGCAGGGCACGAGCTCCTTTGCTTCGTCTTCTTTCGCCGACGCGCACTTTGTCAGAGTAAGACATGTTGACATGCTCCAAACTGGCTCGGGACAGTGGGATGACCGCCCTGGCATTCGTCGACAAGGCCAAGGTCGACGCCGCAGGCGTTGTCGGCAAGGAGTGCGAATGAGTCAGAAATGGAAATGAAGGCGTAGAAGGTGTACTGTTCAGGTTGAAATGGTGATGACTGGGAACTTGGGGATGCAATGACAGAGCAACAAGAAAGGCATGTGGCCGGAGGAAGGGATCCTTCGGGACGAGATATGCATTGCTGCTGCCAGCCAAGACCGCAAGCTTGTTTCGTGTAGCCAAAACAAGACTGAGAAGAGCGCAGATGACAGCAGGGTCTGCAATCTGCTCTGTGAGCTGCCAAAAGTCAATGGCAAGTCGAATATACAACAGGAACCAGCCTACCTCCACATTGACGCATTTCACCCCGATCTCTGTCGTCCATGTATTTAGGCCTTCGACCGTCTTATCGCATAGTAAGCCATCGAATGCTTCCAGTTCGATGGAGAACAATCCGAAGATAGCCAGTCCGATTTGAACGAGGCGAACGAGCTCTAGAACACTGCCTCCAAAAAGGCCTCGATCAACGCCCCGAGATTTCGACTTGACCATCGGTCGGCCACCAGGACTGCTGATCAGAGACGGAGAAACGGCCCCCGGTGCTACATCGAGGAACGGAGATGGAAGTGTGATAGCCATAGCGGTGTGGTGGCGGCGGTGGCTCAGCAAGGCTGGTGGTGTGTCTTCAGCACGAGGGCTGGGTGGGGAAATTGACAACCGCGTTCTGTGTTTCGAAGGTGACGGATTTGGCGTGCCTGCTGGACTAGCAGATGTCGAAATGGCCGAGGCTGAGGTGCCATTTATGATCGACTCAGGGAGATGATATGTGGCAATGAACCGGTCCTTGGTGGTGTCGCTGGGCCAGGGGTCAGAAAACGGACCCTGAAGAAGCGAAACCGACCTGGGCTCCTCCAGAGTAAGCGCACTTCGCCCACTGCAGCCCATACGTAAAAGATTGATGTTGGTGTACAACTTGTCCCGGTACAGGAGAAAGTCACCGTTAGGGATAGGGACGATGGTGTAGTCCGAGCGAAAGTGAGCAAGAGATGTCGCCAGGACCACTCCGTGAGGGGTCTGGTATACAGTGAGCACGTAAAGGCCGGAAACTATAGCGCCAAACGTGCCTCTCGGGGACGTGCATCACGCCTCAGATGCTGGATAGCCTTGTCCCATTCCGCATGAGCTTCTGCTGGGGAAAGTGAAGCAGCCGGTCGAAGAGCTGTGACTATGATACGGTGCGCCGGGTCTCCGGTATAGACAGTCAGGCAGGTCACAGCACGGTTCCGGTCAACAATCCTATGGAATAAGTGAGCCCACGGAAGAGTCGGAAGTGATCTGTGCACGCGCCACTTCTCAACCGCGTATATTTGGAATCCGTCTAGCTCGATGCGCTCTGTGGCTACTTCGAAATGGAGTGGGAGGCCGATCCAGTCGTTAGCGATGGAGGTGTTGTCAGCGGACGGGAAGCTGGGCCGGTTTAGATTGGAGCGAGTACGATGATTTATCTGAAGTACATGAGGGCTCCGAAGATGCGGTTGGCGGATGGTGGGCAGCAGAAGAGTTCTGTCCATGGGGCATCGGCCAAAGCGGAAGCCAAGGTGGGGAAGGTGTGACGTCGGGCCTGGGGAGCCGAATCGAGCGCGTCAAATCGTGCTTGCAACTGTGTACCGCGATGTGATGCCAACTTGATCGGAGGCAAGAATCACGACTTGGAATATGGCTTATTAGCTGCAATCATCCTCTATTTCATTCCCCGTCCTCGAAGGACGCTCGACACTGGCCACCATGAACCCCACCGCTCTACGTGCTTGTCTTTCTTGTCCCGTTTGTTTCCAACCCCTCCGTGCGCCGAGCGCTACGACGTTGCGCTGTGGCCATACTGTATGCTCCGAGCACTGCGCTCACTCTATCTCCTGTCCCGTCCCACAATGCACACCCAACCATGGTCCTGCTCGTCCTCGCATCCCACCAGCCTCTCGTGTCCATTACATGCCTCCTCCGCCATCGGCTCCCGGGCCTTCCGAGCCTGTCGAGGTTTCCAAACCTGATGTCACCATCAACAAGATCATCGAACTTCTTGACCGCCATCTCCAAAGCGAAGGAAGGGTCCGTGATGTCGACGATGTCGATGGTGACTGGGCTGCGCCTTCCTTATCTTCCTCACGCCAGCGATCCCACTCTCCGCCCTCTCGACCCTCCAAGCGACGGCGGCATGATCGTAGTAACGAGGATGATGACGACGACGGCGAAGGCAACGACGATGATCTCCTTTCTCACCTACGGGCTTCTGCAGCACGCGAACGGAGCACGTTACCACAGATACCACTGCGGAATGGGCGGCCCCCGGTGTCGACATTCGAAAAGGAAATGCTCACTGAAATGTCGTGTGAGATTTGCTTCATGCTCTTGTACAATCCAGTGACAACTCCGTGCCAACATGTCTGTTCTTTTTCTTACGTCCGTCGTATTGTTGCTGACAGATTCAGACCTTCTGCGCTAAATGTTTACATCGTTCATTGGATCATTCTCCTCTCTGTCCTCTCTGTCGTGAAAGTCTGCCAGGATTTTCGTTTTTTGAAGACCAGCCTTGCAACCAGACCCTAGAAGCCTTGATTGTAACGGCGTTCCCAGGTGATATTCGAGTGACCATTCTTCCCTCTAAGAATGCTCATGCGATCTTCCAGAACTGTACACTGACCGCAAAGAGGCAATCGAGGCTGAAGAACGGGATGCGAGGTTGGACACCCCGATCTTCGTCTGCATGCTCGTTTTTCCTGGACACCCCACCGCTCTGCACTTCTTCGAGCCGCGATATCGACTGATGCTCCGTCGATGTTTGGAGAAGGAAGTTCCCTCCTTTGGGATGATTATGCCGGCGCGTCCAGGTGCTGGTGCTGGAGTGACCGGCTCACAGATCGACTACGGTACCATGTTGGAAATTAGAAGCGTGCAGATGCTCCCTGACGGGCGGAGCATGGTCGAGACCTGGTCGACGTATCGTTTCCGCATTCTCGAACGGGTACTCTCGATGGGTACACTGTGGCCGCATCGAACGGTCGGTGGAGAGCCATCATGATGTAGAACACCCCCTCACATCATACACAGGATTGATGACGTCCCCGATAGTCCCCCCTTGCCGTTTTCGGGGCCAAGCAACGAAGAATTGATGACGACCTGCACGAATTTCCTCCTGCAGCTCCGACGAGGGACAGCCCCTTGGGTGGTCCAGCGTCTGAACAATGTGTACGGCCCACCGCCGACCGATCCAGCCGCATTCCTTATTGGGTTGCATTGGTGCTTCCCATTGATGAATATGAAAAGGCCAAGTTATTGCCTATACGAAGCACACACATGCGTTTGAGACTGTTGTGCACTGGATCGAACAGCTCAACAGCACTGGTGGGCTGTCTTCATCCAATCCTATCTGTGCTGATCATCCAGCACAGTGTTTGCCATTGGATGCGTAGTCCTCTGAGGACGAGGACCCCTTCGGAATTTCATTCGATTTATCTATATGTTACTCACAATTTATCCCACATTCCTGTGTCCAGTATTTCCGCATTCATTGTTTGCCGCATCCATCCTGTAGACCACGTTACTGTAGTATTACATACTCCTTTTTTTTCTTCCAGAAAGCAGCACCGATGCCGCCCTCTCGATC